ATGAGGCAACTTAACATGTAAGGTTTTGAAGTTAGGATTGATTATATTCCTAACCCTAGGTTAAACCACAAAATTCATTTTAAATGTTTATATTGGAAATATTTGCATAGAGTATAAATCATTCTGTAGTTTCATATTCTGTAAATATGATTTATGTTGACAATGTGCAGAATTCTTTATGCTTTGACTTGGTAGCCAAAGAAGGAATTATCACACCTTTTTTTAAGGCCAGCAGAAAATTATCTTTTTAACTACATTACAAATTCCGTTTTCCTCTCTACTAAAATTTAGCCAATCTCATTTATTTCTAGAACTCTGTTAGAAGGCTGGTTACGAATTTATAACATAGAAATGTCTTTATGTTATGCCGATAACTGAATTTTCCCTAAAAAGACAGCCTAACAAATATATAACAATGTGATATTACGAAGCAGGTTATTTTTTAAAAATCAGAATAATGTTCAAATAAGTGACTAAAGGAAAAAAATGTATTTTATTGTTTATGCAAGGATCTTATAGGAAAGATGGCCAAAAGTCTCATGAAAAAAATTTGGATTATACCAACAGCTTACGTATTAGTAAGATACCTCTTACTTTAAAAATGTATTTACGTGGAAACATTAATGGAATTGGAATTGACAATTGGAAAACTAAAATTTTTAACTGCCTGGTTTATTAACATTTGTTTGGGAACCGTTTGAATAAAGGTACGTGTTTTCTTGTGCATTCTCTATTATTTCAGGAAAAGTACTACTCATGCGAATTCTCTTCCAAAATTGTAATGTTTCTTGTATTTTTGATGAAGGAGAAATACTGTAATGATCACTGTTTACACTATGTACACTTTAGGCCAGCCCTTTGTAGCGTTATATAAAACTGAAGGTCTTTTGTGCTTTCAGTTTGTATAAAAAAGCTTTGAGATTAAAGGAAAAAAATTTTTACACTGTGGTTATAAATTTCAAGTTTCTTAAAGCTTTTGTAGACTTGTAACAAAGTCTTTAATTTTAGTTGGATTTTGTAAATTGTTTTGTATATTTTATTTAATGTACTCTTAACAACTGATGTATCTGGCTTTAAAACATCAGAATCAGTTTGTTGTTTTGTTTGGTACAGAGGAGCATTTGGTAGTGTTAATTTTAATTTTATTATATAGGAGCTGAAACATCAAATATATATTTTATCTATCATTATGCTACACAATCAGTGCTATAAATTTTTTTATGCAAAGAAACTTTCCTAACGTTTGAATCATGTTTCCTCAAAGTGACACTTTTTGTTGTTGTTAATACCAAGTATGAGCTCTCTGCACCGTTATTCCATGAACCAGTTTTAATGCATACCTGTGTATGCTCATCAGAAATGGAAGTTATTTTTTAATCAACAATGAGGCCTATTATAAATTTAACAAACTGAATCTGGATAGCTTTATAGCATATAAAATATATTAATTTGTGTTAGCAGGTGCACATTTCACCACTGAAATTAGAAATATTTTGACAGTCTGTTCTGCATACCATTCTGAATCCACTTTTCTGTCTTATAAGAATCGTAAATTTCAGTGTCCTTTATTTGACTCAGTGGGATATAGCTGTTATAAGTAATAGGGCACAGATGTGCAGTAGAGTCATATTTAATGGCATTTCACTGTTCATTCCCTTTGCCACCGTTATAAAACTTTTCTTTATTGTAATTATCAGTGCAAAGATATGTATTTATCATGGTAGAACTCCAGTGTTAGAATAGTTTTTTCTTACAGTATACTTTCTTTGGTTAGGTTTGTGTATGTGTTGCTGATTACATTAGAACTTGATGTTAAGTCATTATTTATCACACTCTCATGAGAGCAGTAATAAAAGTGTGTAATCTAGGAGAAAAAGTTAATTTGTCAAACTTAGATAAGCATGATGTTTAGGTCCTATTTTTCAATTTTATAACTGTTTTATTGCAACAATATTTGTATTTAAGTCTTCATTTTAATGCCTTGTGGTGTTTTTTTATGCATGTCACTAAGTTGTCATCCCACATAAATTGATGTGCAGCATAGGGTATTAAATCTACATAATGATTTTAAAACAAATAGTTGATGGTAAAATGTAAATGTTTTACAAAAATTCCTTATAAAAAGTTTTGTAGTAACATTTCACTTGTAAATTTTTTTTGTAAAAAAAATGAAAATGAAAAAAAAAAGGATGAATCCAGAAAAAACCTGTTCCCCATATCCTAGAATTTAGACAATTATTCTGCCAGCAAAGCCTCTGGGGCTGTAATTGACATTTTTACAGTGCTGATTTGTATAAAATTTGTTTTTTGTGGATTTGGAAATAAAATCATGTACAAGTTGTTGCCTGCAATAACAATTGCAAGTAACTATTAAAAATTCCCTTGAGTTTAACATGTTTCTTCATTTAATTATGTATACTATAAAGCAGCAATAAATTATTTGAAGTATCAACCTTCTTATCACGATGAACACTAGGAAGTAAATGCTTCTCACTAGAAAACGTATTGGCAACTCTTCATAATTCCTGGTATTAAGATCTGGTCACCATTTCTCTGAACATACTGCCAAAGAACACCAATGCAATTGATTTCATGTTAATTTGTATAGCCATTGCTCTAGACATTTATGGAAATTAAAATTTGATTTAGGGACATTTTTTACTTAAATATTTTTAAGCAATAAATGTTAGGACATTGTAGGAAGAGCTAAAAATGAAAACATAATTAAAATATTTAAGCTCACAGAAACACTGAGAAGCAGAGTGTGCCACATAAATGCCACAGAATCTGTAAGCAAAAGCTGTTGTCTTTTCCTCAGGGGAGAACCCAGCAAATACCATGAAGAACCTTGCTAACGTAATGAATACATTATTGTAACAGCTTTAGTTATCAGATTTCCAAGCCCAGGCCAGATTAGATGATACAGCCACACGAGGGGCTGGGGATGTTATGCAGCAGGGGAAGTACACTGACTCACTGATAGAAGATTCCACAGAGTCTTTTTACATCTATAGTAATCAGGAGCTAAATAGTGTGTGGGGAGATTGCCTTGTACAGGAAAGCCCGAAGGTAAACGTATGTTTATGTCAGAACTCCGTGTCGTGTAATATGTGTTCATAACAATGACTGAATCGAGAAACAGTTAAATTATGCTATTCTGCCAAACAAGACCAGTAAGAAATTTTTCAAAAAATTGATATCAAGACGAAAGATGATAGAATTACCAGAAAAATTCACATTTGGAAGCTTCAGGATACTACATAAAAGAGGTGATAATGAAAGAGAATTAAAATTTTGTTGTGTTTTTTAAATTATTAATATGATAGTACCAGTTTGATTCTTGGGACTTCTAGGAACTTCAGCCACATAACTATGAACAAGACTGAGTGAAAGAAAAGACCACGAAAGTAATGCTTTTTACTTTCTCCTAGATTGTGGACATGAGTATAATAAGCTGGGGAAGTTGAAGCAATGCTGAGAGCAAGACCGTACTATAATATCGTGTGGTTCACAGTGCTGTTGGGGAGGATAACCTCAAGGCAGGGAAAGAGATAGTATCATTTGTTTAGTATTTAAAAGTTCACATGCTTGGGGCGCCTGGGTGGCTCAGTCGTTAAGCGTCTGCCTTCGGCTCAGGTCATGGTCCCAGGGTCCTGGGATTGAGCCCCACATCGGGCTCCCTGCTCCGTGGGAAGCCTGCTTCTCCCTCTCCCACTCCCCCTGCTTGTGTTCCCTCTCTCGCTGTGTCTGTCAAATAAATAAAATCTTTAAAAAAAAAAAAAAAGTTCACATGCTTAAGGGGTGCAGAGACTTAAGGTGTGTGCAAGAAACGCGAAAGTTTTTTCTTGAATACATCTGAATCGTGTTAACTATTTATTACCCAAGCAATAATATCTGTTTGATATACACACAACCAACTTGTAATTGTGTAGCAGGATTTTTAAGGTACGTATTTTCATTCTTTTCAGATTTGCTAATTAGCATCTTGGGCTGTGTTCCTCCTAATAGGTGGCAATGAAATAATTTATTTTTGGATACCTGCAAGTAATCTCAAGTACAAATAAAAGGAGAGGGGAAGAGAGGAAAGAAGATAGATCTTGTAAACCTCTATTTTTGTCTAAGGTAATAGTTTGGATAATTTCTCCTGGAATAAAAAATGTTCCAATTAGATTAGGTTACTAGATTTCAGAATTTTAATAATACCCCCAAGTTTTCATGTATTTAAAAAATATGTATGCTGCTTGTAATACTTTGGCCCAGAAAAGCAATTTAAGTATGCATGTACATACAGTGCAACTATTTACAATAAGGATTTGAATTAGCAGTACATGTACTAGACCATACAGACGTAAAAATCTGTTCTCTTTAAACAGAAAAGGTAGTTTTATGATAAATCATGTATCACTATTCTGCCCACAATCAAGTGCAGATACTGAAGCCTTAAGTACATTGTACATTGCTTAGTGAAGTCAACCAGGAAAATTGGGTGACAGTCAAGCAAAATTTTCATGTAACCTTATGTGTGAAATATTCCATAAAAACAAAGTACCATAATAAAAAATTTTATTAGGGAAACAGTAGCTGGGTTTCCCCCAATTAACAATACTGTCATCGCATAGCTGGCGCTGTTTAAAATTTTTGTTCAATGTAAACATAATTCATAGGGGTTTTTTGTTCTCTATATATACTTTAAAAGGTTTATTTATTTATTAGAGGGAGAGGGAGAGAAAAACTTAAGCAGACTCCGTGCTGAGCGTGGAGCCCGACCTGGGGCTCAATCCCACAACCCTGAGGTCATGACCTGAGCCGACTGCCCCACCCAGGTGTCCCGATGTTCCCTATATTTTAATAAAAAGTACATGTATATAGATTATGCTATGTGTAACATTGTAGATATATATCATAACATTTGGGTTGGATTAAGAAGTTAAAACTTCAGGAATGCCTGGGTGGCTCAGATGGTTAAGCGTCCACCTTCGGCTCAGGTCATGATCCCAGGGTCCTGGGATCGAGTCCCACATCGGGCTCCCTGCTCAGCAGGGAGCCTGCTTCTCCCTCTGCCTGCTGCTCCCCCTGCTTGTGCACACGCTCTCTCTCTCATAAAATCTTTTTTAAAAAAAAAAAACTTCAGAATAAAACTTTTGTTTTTAAAGATGCTTTAGGAAAAACCATAAGAAATTACAGTTAGGCCTAAACGCACACACATGGCCTAAAATGAATGCTATATGAAGATTTGCACCAACAGTTTCCATGAAACTACCTTTTTATCTAGTCCCTGTATTTCTGAACATTAATTTGCTATACGACTTAACAAGAGCAAAGGCTAATAGGTTAAGTTTCTGAGTCTCCACTCGTTGAACCCATATTGTCTGCTTTGTGCCAGGCACTAATGCCGGTGGCAGAGACCAAGAGCAACCAGAAGCCCTCTCACTGCCCTCCTGGAGATCACACACATTGCAGAGTGGTAAGGGTGAGGGAGGACCAGCAGAATAAAGGTGAGGAGCGCTGAGGCTGCAGTTGTAACTAGGGTAGTCAGCAAAGCCTTCCTGAAGTGATGTCAGAGCAAAACCAAGTGAGGAAGCGAGCCTTGCAAATGAGCATCTGAGGAGAAGTTGGGGGAAGAGGACTCCAGCTGGAGGGATGAACCCTAAGATTGGACTGTGGCGAAAGCACGGCAGTCCAGAGGGGCCAAAAGGCAGCAGGAGAGAGAGAAGACGCGTCAGAACGGCAGCATCCTGCAGGGCCCGAGTGTAAAGGCCTGTTGACGATCAAGTGGGTTGATGACCCTGGTCCTAGCAAAGCCCTGTGCTCCAGAGATCACCAACTGGGAGCCAGAGGGGCGTGGGCTTCATTCCCGCTTTGGCCGCTTACTCGCTGCACCACCTTGGGCAAACTAACCTTTCTGCATCCTCTTTTCCTCCTTTGCACAATGGGGATAATACCTCACAGATCTGTTAAAGGATCAGATAAGGTAATTGTACCAAGCCCCTGAGACGATAGTGTTCAATAGAAGTTATCGTTAATTATAAATTAATCCAAAAGGTGGGGGAGGGGACATGGAATATTTCTCAGTTGGACCAATACTGAAAAGCTTTGGAAGTGGACAATAATATGTTATAAAGTTAATTTTCAATATCCCACAAAGGAAAGAGGGAAAAAATTCAGTGGGATTTTTTTTTTTTTTTAAGATTTTATTTATTTGACAGAGACAGCAAGAGCAGGAACACAAGCAGGGGGAGTGGGAGAGGGAGAAGAAGGCTTCCCGCTGAGGAGGGAGCCCGATGTGGGGCTCGATCACAGGACCCCGGCATCATGACCTGGGCCGAAGGCAGACATTTAATGACTGAGCCACCCAGGTGCCCCTCAGTGGGAATTTCTTGATTCAATTGTATATTTTTCTCAAAGTGTCTGCCTATGAGCTAGTTTGGGATGCTCTATCTCAAAATTAGAGGATAGTCATGTTTTCCCAATGTAAACAAAATTAAAGTTTCAAGTCGTTTTTTCCTAATTTTAAGATTTATTAATTTATTTGAGAGAAAAAGAGCGAGCGGGGAAAGGGGCAGAGAGAGAAGGAGACTCCCTGCTGAGCACAGAGCCTGACGTGGGGCTCGATCCCACGACCCTGAGACCGTGTCCCTGAGCCGAAACTAAGAATCGGACACCCCTAGTTTTTTCCTAATTTTAAAATGTTAATTCCAACTACAATTTGCCTACCTCCAAAGTGATAGCAGACAACCAAACAAGTGAACAGAAGCGAACCAATTCGTGAAAAACAAAAGCAGCTGCCCATGTATTCAATAACCATTTTGTAGACATGTATGGAAAATGCTCTATATTTAAAATCATTCCCTACGTTTATTAAATAGACAAAAAGAATCCGAGCTTACAGGGCAAAAGTACTCCTGTGTTTTCAGCTCCCTACCAAATTACAGCCACAAAAAGAAAATGTGCAATTTGGTGTCCAAAGGTTTTCTATCCTAGACAACTACATTTCAGACTTGACATAGAAAAAGAATAATAGGATGCTCTACATTTATGAGCTCCAAGCTACTTTCACTTAGCTGTTCAGATTATTTGTGGAATAAGATAGGATATAGATTGTCCAAACTGGCTTAGTGTCCTGCCAGGCTCAGGGGCACCTCGGGCTATTTCCTGCTCTCCATTTCCCCTGCCTTGTTCTTTTACTGTCTTACCTTGACTTCAGATCCTGTTCTTAATTCTGACTTGCCCCTTCCATTCCCAAGCTGACTTTTGGAGATGCTTTTTCCAATCAGCCAGTACTTTATTGAGCACCTATTGCATGCCACGTTCAGGCACAAGGAATGCTATTCGTCTTTTCTGCACTAACCCTGTCTCCTTGGATCTGTACCTCAGCTAGATTTCTAGAGCACCTCAAGATCCTCTTGCCACAATCCTAGGGACCTGCTGGCAGCACTTGCAGAAATGGGAGTGTATTAAAATAGCCTGCATCTTCAGGGAGGAGCCAAGGTTCAGATCATGTTGGGCCAGGTTAAGATGAACAGGTTTCAAGTCAGAGTCAGCCAAGAAATCAGACCCTGGAAGCGAAGATCAGAAAAAAAGCAAATTACAGGGAAGAGGAAGAAATTAAGCATAAGCAGTTGTCTCAATCACCCATCTGTCTTTGAATCATGCATTTCTAGATGGTTGGCTTGGCTCAAATTGTGTTATTTATTATCTTGCTATGAAATGTGGTTTAATAAATATTTTATTGGTAGTAGTATCATTTTTGAGATGTGAGAGCCATAATAAAGGTTATATCTTCTGCTGGTAAAATCGTTCCCAGCTTGTATAATTTTATGCTAGAATTAAGTACATCAGTAATTCATGGTGCTATGTAAAGGGCATCATGGCTTCCAAGAGTTTGGTCACCCTAACAAGTTTGGAAAACATGTTGAGGAAAATAATTTAAAGGCAAACAATAAGCTAACTGGAAAAAAGATTCCACCTCAGTTCAGGAATATTGTAAATGGTTACAACTGTAACTTAACTGTTCGACATCTTTGAAGCTCCCTTTATGTCAGCTTATTCTTTGTCGAATTTATATGTGTATATACAAAATGTGTGTGTGTGCATGCATGTTTGGTGAAGCATCATGTCTATTTCTAAATGCAGTCAGAAGTCAGAATTTAAATTTCTAAGTTCCTGTGGTTTTGTATTATAGCTGCTTACTCTCACTTTCTATAATTATGTGGACAAAAAGATTGTGAGAAAAAATAAGCCCTCTTCTGATGATAATATACAACCTTATTTTAATCCTCACTTTTATGGAATAAATCATGACTAGAAAGGGGTTTGGGGACCTATGAAAGAGTCTCAGTTCTTCATATGTTTTCTTGTTTGTTTTGTTTTTCAGAACAGTGGGGATGCCAATTTGTATTAAAAGTCTTTGTAAGTATGTCCACCAAGTCCTTTTATTTTACTTTTATCCTTGCATCAGATTGTAAATGTAGACTTTGACATAAAAAAAGGAAAAGGGGGCATCGGGCTGGCTCAGTCAGTGAAGTGTGCAACTCTTAATCCTACCGTTGTGACTTCAAGCCCCACATTAGATGTAGAGATTTCTTAGGGATAAAATCTATTAAAAAATGGGGGGAAAGGTGGGGCGCCTGGGTGGCTCAGTTGGTTAAGCGACTGCCTTCGGCTCGGGTCATGATCCTGGAGTCCCTGGATCGAGTCCCGCATCGGGCTCCCTGCTTGGCAGGGAGTCTGCTTCTCCCTCTGACCCTCCTCCCTCTCATGCTCTCTGTCTCTCATTCTCTCTCTCTCAAATAAATAAATAAAAAATCTTTAAAAAAAAAAATGGGGGGAAAGGCAAACCTACCTAAAGAATTTTTATTAAATTGGCCATTTTGCAGATATAAAATACATTTTCTGTATTTTTAGGAGAAGTGTTACCTTGTTTGTAAAATGTTTTTTAAATATTTATTTTCTTTTAAATATTATCCGTATTTGAATCCATGATCTTGAAAGATTCTCTAAGGAATTATTGGTATGAGAAAAGAGCTGAGAATCACCAAAGAATATATTCAAATAAAATATTCGCCTTGAGTTTATATGTTGCATTCTAATAGAAATGCTGGTCAGATTTATGATTTAAGTACTTATATCTCTTACTTAGAAAATTATAAGATGTTTTTAAACTCTGGCTTTGTTCAGAATCCTTCCAAAATAATTATGATCTGTAAAAACATCAAGTAACCCTCCTGCTTTAATTTTTTGTAGCTGAGCTATAATTTGACCTAACGTACATCCATCTAGTGAATCCAGAGGACAGTGCTTTGTTTTCAGGGATCTACAACATCGAATTAAAATTCAGACATATTTAGATGTCAAACTAAGAATTACCCTGTTCCAAGTTCAGTGCATTCCTCTTAAACACAAATACAAAAGTAATTATTGGTTCTCATTACCATAGGTACTCGTTTGATAGTCCAAGTATTTGTAACAGTCACAGCACAGCATGCATCCGTCAGAAAAGACGCTAGACATAGTAATGGAGGAAGGTCCCAGAGTCCCTCCTGTCCCTCCATCCCCACACACCCCTACCCAACCCCTTGATGCCAGGCAGTACTCTTTCAGTTGCTGGATCCTAGGGAGGTCATGGGATGGTAAGAGAGGGATCAGGAACCATAGTGCCTATGTACTTCTTGGTGTGGAATTGTCTCAATTTCTTAATAACCATTGTGGCTATACCACTGAATGTGAGCCCTGGACAGTGCATTTATCCTCCGAACTTTAAATATATGGATAGAAAACCCAGTCCCAAAATTATCCTTTTAATTGCTGAATTCATGAAAAAGCTCAAGCAGTTACATAAGCATTTTACTAAGACACATGAAAATCAAAGAGGAATGCAAGTGGAAAAGTCATTTCACTTAAAGATAAGACTGATTTAAAAACTTGCTGTAATATTTGTGTAAGATAGAGCTTCTGGGGGTTATGACGACTTAAATAATTTTAAAAGGCAAGTCGGAGAAAGGGTTTGTTACAGCAACAAAGGCGATTGCTTCCTAAACTTTATTTTCACTGGTTTTTAAAAGCCTGTTAACTATCTTGAATCTGAGACACATCGGTTATTTTATGTATATTAATTTATATATCACAAAAAATCCCTGCCAATAACACTACAACACGATGCTTTAATATGACTGAGAAGTTTCATTTTACACTTATGAAAGAGCTCTCTTAGACTATTTAGATATTTTCTCATATATCACTCCTGTACATACTTTAAGAATCTCAATGAGGGGCTCCTGGCTGGCTCTGTCTGTGGAGCATGTGACTCTCGTTCTCAGGGTTGCGAGTTCGAGTCCCACATTTGGTGAAGAAATTACTTTAAAAATTTAAGTCTTTAAAAAAAAATAAAGAATCTAAGTGAAAGTTTCTTCATATGCAGGGACTCACTTTTCAATCACGTTTGTGCCCAAGAGTGGTAGTTTTAAAACTATGTCCATAAATTGTTTGATATTCCTTCCTTCAGTAAATGGAGCCTACTTCCCTCCCCTTGAGTGTGGGCTGGACTCTGTGACTTGCTTCTAATGAACAGACTAAAGTGGATGTGACAGTGTGGGGCTTCCAAGACTGGGACATAGAAAGTCACTGTGGCTTCCTTCTTAGTTCTTCTCTTGGATTATTCACTTCAGAGGAAACCAGCTGCCATGTTGTAAGCAGCCCACACCGTAAGGAACTGAGACCTCTGGACAACCGCCATGTAAGTGAGCCTGAAGTGGATCTTCCAGCACAGTCAAGCATTCAGATGACTACTGGCCCCGACGCCATCTTGGCTACACCTCATGAGAGACTCTGAGCCGCAGCCCCCAGCTAAACTCCTTTCAGATTCTTGACCAACAGGAACTGCATGAGCTAACAAGTGTTTGTTGTTTCAAGCTGCTACACTGGGGAGTTGTTTTGCAGCCATAGATAATACACCAAGAATCATGAATTTTCAACCAATATCATTTTCTGACATTAACAGCATCAGTGATGCAGCATTCTATAAAAGAAGGCTTCACTTTTATCTCCAGGAATTTCTCTGCAAGCTTTGCTGCAGATGGATGGTAGGGGCACTAATAACAACAGACATGGTTCTCGGCAGTCCACAAATTCAGACACACCCCAATTTCAGAGACGTGAAAACATATGCACCACACAATGGATGAAATACACTTGAAGCTATGTTTGTGATTTGCCTTCTGCTCTCATCCACCCCCTTTCTTCTCGAAGACCTTGATCTTGCCAATGGCAGTTTTATTGACCATTTCAGGACAAAAGTACTGAGCTTCACGGTGGGGGGCTGCTGTATTTGCACCATTGTTTACACGGGAAACGAAGGGCTTGGGTGGCTGAGAAAGGGGCTGCTGGTGTGAGCTGGAAGAACACTTTATGAACTCTAACCTGTCCCAGCAACCCTTGGAGAGTCACAGAGGAATTGCTGGGAAAGTGGTAGGGGCTTTTTGGTGCTGGCAAAATTTGGGCATTTTAATAGGGCATGATCATCCTTGGAGATTTGGGAATATTCTAGTTTTACGAGGAATTCTGTATCCGGGAACAATTCACTACTAACCTATTAGGAATATAAATATTTATTTAGGGAGAAAAGCAAACAATTGCTTACTGGTTCAGAGAGAAACCTTAGCAACATTACAAACCTTAGGTACATCAGCAATGTAAATATGAAAAGAAAAAGGAGATTTATCTGACCTAAGCACATTGCTCTCCTCCTTAAATCTCTCGTCACTAAATAGGATATCTTATATGAGAGGGCTTTGTAAACTGCTGAGCGCTAAACTTGAGCGTAAGGCTTAATTAATACATGTCTGCTGCCTCCACGCCGGGAGGGATCACCAATCTTCATTTAATTCCCACCTGCGCCCTAAGCTGAGCACTTTCTCTGGGCTTTCTCCTTATTCTGTTTTCAAGGAAAGATTAACAAACAGGAATAGAAATAATAATGTTTAATATGATTTAGAAGTTATTCAGAAATAATTGTGTTTATACCCCCTGCAACTTCACTGCCTTTCATATTCTTTTGATGAGTTTATTTAATCTCTAAATCTTCTTCCTCCTCTGGAACTAGTGCTCCTAACATAAAGCTGCTTTCTTGTTCTGATCACCTGTAATTGAATTAATCTCTTTTTACAGATTTATTTTTTTCTTCAAAGACTAACGTTTTCTCTGACTAAAATTTCTTAGGGAACAGAAGTGCTCCCTTTGCTGGCTTTTTTTTTTTTGAAGGGCTTGTTTCAAGTCAACAAATATTTGAACAATAGTATTGCTAGAAGGTCTATGCTAGATGCTGTAAGGGATAAAATAAATTAATAAATGGCCCCTCCCTGATAGTTTCTGCCCTCTTGCTAACAAGAAAAAAATAAGAAACCTCCACAGATAACTATAATGTCAAGTGGAGCGCATGACAAATGGTACAGGAAGAGATTACACCAAGTACTGGGTGAGGATTTCCTCTCCTGAGAGTCTTGTGGTTCTTGTTTGCTTCCTCGCTTGCTTTTGTCAGTCATTTCCAGTACAACTCAGTATTTTCTAAGTATTATGAAATTATTCTTTCTGTAAATCCTTTTGTTTTCTACTGTTATTTCTGCCTTTAGCTCTTATTTTCAGGCTTATATTCTGGAAAGATGCCTTAAGTGGTTTTGTGTTTTTGGTTTTTTTTTTTAAATCAAACCCAACAGTGGTAAGAAAATAAACTGTTGGTTTTTTGTTTGTTTTTTTTAAGATTTTATTTATTTATTTGACAGAGAGAGACACAGCAAGAGCAGAAACACAAGCAGGGGGAGTGTGAGAGGGAGAAGCAGGCTTCCAGCGGAGCAGGGAGCCCGACGCGGGACCCGACCCAGGACCCTGGGATCATGACCTGAGCTGAAGGCAGACGCCCAACGACTGAGCCACCCAGGCGCCCTAAACTGTTGGTTTAGATCTGCTTTGAATGATCTTGACTGTATGAGTTTCCGTTCCTGTCTGATTTGCATGTCTCTTCACCCAAGAGTCACCATTCTCTATGCCTATGTTACATATGTTAGGGCTCCCTGTTAGAGTTTTCTCTCACCAACTTGTTTTAATGTTGCGGTATCTCTGAAAACCCAGATAATAGAATTCCTCAAATTGCATAGTTTTCTCAGTTTTACCCTGTTTTTCTTTTTCTCCTTCCAAAATCTTAAGATGGCCTCAGTCAAGGAATTCTAGAAGAATTAATTTCATTAAATGTTTAGCTGCACTTAAAAAAAAAAAAAAAAGGTGAGGGGCGCCTGGGTGGCTCAGTTGGTTAAGGGACTGCCTTCGGCTCAGGTCATGATCCTGGAGTCCCTGGATCGAGTCCCGCATCGGGCTCCCTGCTCGGCAGGGAGTCTGCTTCTCCCTCTGACCCTCCTCCCTCTCATGCTCTCTGTCTCTCATTCTTTCTGTCTCAAATAAATAAATAAAATCTTAAAAAAAAAAAGATAGAAATTTAAAAAAAAAGGTGATAACATCTCTGTAATTCATGAGAAACTGTGTTAGCGTAAGGTGGTATTTCTCATGATGTTTTAGGTGATTAGTGGCTTCTGAGGAAAAAAACACCTTCAATACCTCTCTTGGTTAACTACCAAACGGACACTTACTTTTCCCTTTTACCCCGCCAACAGAACCCAGATTTTGCTCAGGCTCCTCCTAGTGGCCATATCCTTGAGAGGAGGCTGGAGTTGGATCTTCATTAGCTCAACTAACTGAGGAGTTCTCATTTCCCTTGAGAAGTGCAAGGTTGAGACGTGGGCATGAGATGTAATTCTAGCTGCTTTGATGTAAAGGGAAGTCTTCTGGGAGACTCTGGAGAGTTTTCTCCACTCAGAAATGAAGATGTTCCCTTTGCTTCCCTTTGGATATTGTCACCTACACGGAGTGCTAAAAAGCCCAGTTGCCACCTAGCAGTGTGCTAGGAGAATCACTGACCTGTTGGAGACCACAGAAAAGAGTGACGAGCAAAGTCTCATCCCTGAGTCACTGAACTAACAAACCAACGACGTCACTACAATGAGACTTTTGTGAGGTTATAAATGTCCTTATTATGTGCCACTACCAGCTGGGGTTTTGGTTAACTGCAGTTAGAAGTGAGGCATCCTCCCTGACATATCGCTTGTGACGGGATCGTTAAATTGTTTTTCATTTTCACTGTCATTCTCCTCTACTCTTCTCCTCAGGACACTCTTTTCTCCTTCATTTGTTGGGTATCCTCCTGCTCTTTTAAATACTCTATTCATCGCGCTTGAAAAAAGTTGTGAAATTGGATCACTTACCCTCACAGAATGATTGTGTGATTGGAGCAAATGGGTTGAGGGGATTTAGGGCATTAGCAAACAGTAGAGGAGAACTTTTTGAGACACTGAAAATAGTCGCATACTATTACTTATGAGGCTGGTCCTGAAGGCTAAGTCTGAATTCATCCTTGGATGTATTTAGCAGAAATCCTACTTTCCCAGAGGAGAAACTGAATATTTACACGCTTTAGGCAAGTTATTCATGTTTCTCCCCGTCAGAATCCATTGATTGTTACCCTTTTACTGCCCCATCACCCCTCATTTCTCGCCTTACTCAGCTTAGGTACCATAATAAAATAGTTTTTCCACCTTTATTGACACATAACATTGTGTAAGTTTAAGATGTACAATGTCATGGTTTGATACACGTATATATTGTGAGATGATTACCACAACAAGGTTAGATAACACCTCCAGCACCTCACATAATTACCTTTTTTGTTGTTGTTGTTTTAGGTGTGGTGAGAACATTTAAGATCTACTCTCTTAGCCCAGGATTACAACACAGTATTGTCAACCATGCTCATCATGCCCAATCCTCAGAACTGATTCATCTTATAAGCGGAAATTTATACCCTTTGACCACATCTCGTCATATCTCCCAACCCCCAGCCCTGGTAATCACTATTCGACTCTCCATTTCTATGCGTTCAGCTTTTTTAGATTCTACATTCAAGTGGTATTATACAGTATTTATCTTCCTCTGTCTGACTTATTTCACTCAGCATAATGCCCTCATGGTCTATTCATGTTGTCTCAAAAGGCAGGATTTCCTTCTGTGTGTGTGTGTGTGTGTGTGTGTTTATAAATATATATATACATCTGAGATTTTTTTTCCATTCATCCATAGATGGACATTTAGGTTGTTTCCATGTCTTGGCTACTGTGAATAATGCTGCAGTGAACATGGGGGTGCAGATATCTCTTCAAGATAGTGAGACGGTGGTTGCATTTCCTTCAGATATATACCCAGAAGTAGGATTTCAGGATCATATGGTGGTTCTATTTTTAATTTTCTGAGGAACTTCCATACGGTTTTCCATAGTGGCTGCATCAATTTCCATTCCCACCAACAGTGCCCAAGGATTCTCCTTCCTGCACATTCTCCCAAATACTTGTTATCTTGTCTTTTTTACAATAGACTTTCTAACAGATATAAGGTGATATTGCATTCGTAGTAAAATATTAATGACTAATTTCCATACACCCTCAACTGTCCTGCCCCAGTCTCCTTCATCAAACTATCCTGGCAAAAACCAACCAATTAAGATTAAATCCAGCCAACTTAGTTTCACAAACCATGCAGCTGAATATGGCTGAAGAAAAACCCCCAAACTGATACCAGTTAAACTCAAGTGGGCCTTTGGTGCTGCTCTGCAAACCCTCTATACTTGGATAGTTTATTCACTTTTCCAGTCTCCCGAGCCACTCTTTCACACCTTCACTGATCTCAAACCTTGAACACGTCCTCCCTATTTGCCATTCTCCAATAACAACTTTGCTCCTACTTCATCAGAAGATAGGCACAATCAGAAGACAACCTCTATCAATTCCCGTCCCTACATGTATCAGGCTACGTCTGCCTTTTCTTCTGCTTCTGTGGATGAAATCTCTGTGTTACTCTTTAAGGCAAACCCCTGTTTAAAGCTAGAATCCATCCTCTACTTACCTGCTCAAAGACAGCAATCCTTTCCTTTTCTCTCCAGCATCAGCAACTTTTCCCTTTCTATTATACCATTCTCATCAGGAAAAAAATGCATTGATATATTTAGAAAACAAGAAAAGATCTAGAAAAAGAAAATTCTTCCCACACCTACTTCCTACTCCATTTCTCTGCTTCTCCTAAACAGAGTTTTCCATACTCACTGTCTCCAAATTTTCTTCTTCCATTCTCTTTTAAACTCATTCCAACCAGGTTTTTGACTTTACCACTCTTTTGACAAACCTCTTTTCAAGGTCTTTAATGACCCCTTTGTGTGACTAAGTCCAACCGCTGATTCTCAGTCTTCACCTCAACCTCTCAGAAACATTTTGTACAGTTGGCTACTCCCTTTTTCTGGAGACATTTTTTTTTTTTCCTGTCTTGGCTCCTAAAACTCTGCTTTCTGTAGGTTTTCCTCTTACATCGTTAGATTCTCCTTCTCAGTCTCCTTTGCTGGTTCCTCCTCAGTCCCGGGGTTTGTTCCTCAGATAACCCCAGGTGATATCTTCTAGTCTCATAACGTTATTTATTTGTCAATGATTTATTTGTTTATTTTAGAGAGAAAGCACAAGAGCGAGTGTGGGGAGGGGCAGAGGGAGAGAATCTAAAGTAGACTCCCTGCTGGACATGGAGCTTGACCCAGGGTTCGATCCTGTGACCCTGAGATCATGACCTAAGCCAAAACCAAGAGTCAGATGCTCAACTGACTGAACTACCCAGGTTCCCCAGTCTCATAACTTTAAATATTATCTCTATGCCGATAATTCTAAAGTTTATTTCTCTAGCTTCACCTCTCCCCTGAACCTAGACTATATATCCAGCTGACATTTCATTATCTCCAGTAGGACATTTATTAGACATCCCACATTTAACATGTCCAAAGCCAGTCTTCTGGTTTCCTTCCTCAAATGTGTTTTATCTCCAGGCTTCTTTATCTCAGCACATCTCAAATCTATCTCTCATCTTCTCAGACAAAAAAAAAATTCTATTAATCCATAATTATTTCTTTTCATATATTCCACATCCAAATTTTCAAGAAATCCTGTTGGCTTCACCTTGATACTCAAAAATCTAACCACTTCTCATAACTTCTCACCACTTCCACTACTAAATATCACCACCAATATCCCTCATCTGGGTTGTTGCTGTAATCCTGATTCTTTATTGTATCGTCACAGCAAACAGCTAGAATCATCCTTTTAATTTTTTAAAAAAGATTTTATGTATTTATTCATCAGAGACAGGGAGAGGGAGGCAGAGGGAGAAGCAGGCTCCCCACTGAGCGGGGAGCCCAATGTAGGACTCGATCCCAGGACCCTGAGATCATGACCTGAGCCGAAGGCAGACGCTTAATGACTGAGCCACCCAGGTGCCCTGAGATCATGTCACTCTTTTGCTTAAAGAACCCCCTAGCTGGCTCTCATCTGTACAAATTAGAATATAGGCTAAAATGCTTTAACAGAGACCCAAATACAGTAAAAAAAAAAAAAAAAAAAGCTATTTCTCTTTTTTGTAGAAGTTCAAAGCCATGAGGGAAGTCCAGAAGGATGAGCAGCGCTACTCCATCAATTGATCCTGAAAGCCAGGTTTCGTCTATCTTGTTCTGCCACCTTCCTGTAGTGAAGATCTGCTGATAATGAATCCTCTTGGTTTTTGTTTATCGGAGAAAGTTTTTTATTTCTCCTTCATTTTAGAAAGATATTGTTGCCAGCTATAGAACTCTGATTTAACTCTTTTTTCTCCCCTGTCCTTTAAGATGTCACTCCACTATCTTATGGCTTGAAAATAAATCTGTTGTACTTCTTTCCTTTATACCACGTGTGTGTTTTCCCCCTCTGGTTGCCTCTAAGATTTCTCTTTTTAGCTTTTGTTTAAAACAGTTTGAATAGTATATGCCTAGGTGTGTATGTGGGATTTTGTTTGTTTTGTTTTGCTTTGTTTGGTATCTATCCTGCTTGGTGTTCTCTGAGTTTCCTGCCACTGTGGTTAGTATTGTTCATTAATTTTGAAAAATAAGTTTCAGCCATGATTTAAAACATATTTATTTGGCCTCATTCTCTCTCTTTTTCTGCAATTCCCACTACATGTTTGAGACTCTTTGATAATGGCCCACAGCTTTTGGATGTCTGTCCTCTTTTTGGGGGGGGGGGGGTTAAGATTTATTTATTTATTTAAGAGAGAGGCAGAGGGAGAGAATCCTTAAGCGGACTCCCAATGAGTGCGGGGCCCAATGTGGGGCTCCATCCCAGGATCCTGAGATTATGACCTGGGCCAAAATCAAGAGCTGGATGCTTAATCAACTGAGCCACCCAGGCGCCCAGTCCTCCTTTTTATACTCTTTTCTCTTCATGTTTCATTTTGGGTAATTTATATTGCCCTATCTTCAAGTTTACTGATTCTTTGCTCAGATGTGTTGAGTCTTCTTTTTTTTTTTTTTTTTTTTTAAGATTTTATTTATTTATTTGAGAGAGAGAGAATGAGAGAGAGAGAACACCTGAGAGGGGATAGGGTCAGAGGGAGAAGCAGACTCCCTGCCGAGCAGGGAGCCCGATGCGGGACTCGATCCCAGGACTCCAGGATCATGACCTGAGCTGAAGGCAGTAGCTTAACCAACTGAGCCACCCAGGCACCCATGTGTTGAGTCTTCTGATGCACTTATAAGCATTCTTCATCTCTGTTATGGTGTGTGTGATTGACCTGGTTTGAGATTTATTGTTGCTATGGTTACGCTTAGGGCACCCCAAGCTTCAAATTCCTATAACATTAGTTTGTGTTTACGACGGAGCTGATTTGCCAGAAAGTATCTTTCAATGTCTGCTTCACCTTTAGGTCTTTCTGCCATATTCCATTCAATAGAAGAGTGACTAAATCCAGTCTTACCTTCAAGGGGAGGGGAATTAGGCTACATGTTCTGGACAGAAGGGGTGTTGACTGATCACTTAATTAATTATTTGTGGAGGGTCAAGAGAGGGTACTTATTTATTTACTTACTTGTCCCATCAATAATGATCTCATTTTAAGAATATAGAGCCTGTTCGAGCCACAGATACAAGGGGAATGTGTACCCACCCACTCGTAGACCTCTTTCTATGGACATGGCAGAATTCTTACCAAAAACATTGGGTGAGAGTCCTGTTGAGGCATCATGCTGAGAATTTCCCCAGGAATTGCCCTCAGCCAGGGGATGTTGACTTGGCCAAGATTATACCTCCTCCCCCTACAATATGGGGCTACAAAGGTGTGGTTCTCTTGCCTCAATCTGGGACATCTCTAAAGAGCCAGTTTAAGAGCTCCCCGTGGTGGTGGGAGGGGGGGTGCGGGCAGTGCCTGGGTGGCTCAGTTGGTTAAGCGTCTGCCTTCAGCTCAAGTCATGATCCTGGGGCCCTGGGATAGAGCCCTGTGTTGAGCTCCCTGCTCAGTGGGGAGCCTGCTTCTCCCTCTCCCTCTGCCCCTCCTCCCCACTTATGTTTTGTCTCTCTTTCTCTCAAATAAAAAAAAAAAAAAGAGCTCCCCATGGGGGTTGCCTGGGTAGTTCAGTTGGTTAGGTATCCAACTCTTGATTTTGGCTCAGGTCATGATCTTAGGCTCATGGGACTGAGCTGCGCATTGAGCTCTGTGCTCAGCAGGAAGTCTGCTTCTCTCCCCCTCTCTCTGACCCCCCACCCCCTACTCTCTCTCTCTCAAATAAATAAATAAATCTAAAAAAAAAAAAAATGTTCCCCATGGGATCAACCAAAGCTTCTCTTGCAACTGCCTGACAATTCAACTGCTCCCTCTGCCCCGTCCTGCTGCTTCTATTCCCTTACAGGTATTTTTTTTTCCTGAGCACACGCCCTAGTAAATGATCTGCATGCAAATTCCATAGAGTCTTAGAATCTATTTATCGAAGAATCCAATCTATGGCAGCTTTGTACTCACAATGCACAGTCATTTTTACAGTAATATTACCCATACTATTCCTAGCAACATACTTACTGAAAACAATTTAAAATGATTTGTTTATATCATTTTTATTTTATCTTGTGTACTTCTTTTTGTTCTTAGGTTTTATCTTTTTAGGGATATGCTAATTACTATTTTAAAATCACTTGAAATAGTTCCTCTCTGTATGGTTATGACAAGAACTCAATAATTACGTAAGTTCATTTGGTTCATTGTTTTTTTTTATTTTCGAGGTTTAAGTTTAAACTTATTATTTTTTTTTTTTAAAGATTTTATTTATTTGACAGAGAGAGATACAGCGAGAGAGGGAACACAAGCAGTGGGAGTGGGAGAGGGAGAAGCAGGCTTCCCGCTGAGCAGGGAGCCCGATGCGGGGCTCGATCCCAGGACCCTGGGATCATGACCCGAGCCGAAGGCAGACGCTTAACGACTGAGCCACCCAGGCGCCCCTAAACTTATTTTTTAATATGTAAAATATTTACATGAGTCCCATTAACTATAGAAAATGGTGTATATTTTCAGAAGTCTAGCTTCTGTCCCTGTTTTTTCCACCCTTTCTAATGTGTAAACATTTAAAAAGTTTTTTGGCTTATTCTCCCATTGTGGTAATTATATTTTTTTCTTTTTTTTTTTTTCTTCAAGATGTTCTTTATTTATTTGACAGAGAGAGACACAGCCAGAGAGGGAACACAAGCAGGGGGAGTGGGAGAAGCAGGCTTCCCGCGGAGCAAGAAGCCCGATGCGGGGCTCGATCCCAGGACCCTGGGATCATGACCTGAGCTGAAGGCAGACGCTTAATGCCTGAGCCACCCAGGCGCCCCTGTGGTAATTATATTTTCACATAAACAAATACTGTGGGGAGAGCAGGGATGTACCATCCCCACTTTCATAGATGAATTGTAGCAAAACATACACATTTTTCTCTCCCTTTCATATTTCACTTAATATATCTTGGAAGGGCTCCTGGGTGGCTCAGTCAGTTAAGCCTCTGACTCTTGGTTTTTGCTCAGGTCATGATCTCAGGATTGTGAGATCAAGCACCGAGTCGGGCTCCATGCTCAGTGGGGAGTCTGCTTGAGATTCTCTCTTTCCCTTTCCCTCAGCTCCTCCCACTCGTGATCTCTTGCTCTCTCTCTCAAATAAATAAATAAATCTTAAAAAAGAAAAAAAGAAAATATGTCTTGGAAATCATTCCACTAAAGCGTATAGAGGTATCTTCATTCTTTTTGTAGCTGCATACTACTCCATTATTTGGATGTTCTGTAGTTTATTCAACCAGTCAACTATTCCTGGGCATTTAGGTAGCTTCTAGTCTTTTCTACTTAAAATGTAGTGCTGTGATAACTAGCTTTGTATATAGATTCCTGGAGGAAAGATTGCTGGGTCAAAGGGCAAATGCATAGATAATTTTTCTAGAAACTGACTAATTCTCTGGGATTGTATCATTTTGAATTCCCAGGAGTGATGTGAGTGCCTGTTTCCCTACTCATACCAAGAATATGTCAATCTTAAAGCTAGTAACCAAAAAAATATATAGTATTGTACTATAGTTTGAATTTGTATTTTTCTCTTGTGAGGGAGGTTGAGCATCTTTTCATATGCTTAAGGATCATTTGTGTGAATGAATATGACTCAGTATACCATGTTCTGATACTAGTGAGCAAGCTGGAGAGACAAAAGAAATGGAGGGTTGGCAGATTCTTTTTAAGAACATGACACATGAGTTGTACCTCGTAACTTTCACTTTCTATTAGTTACAAGAGAAACTAGGAAGTGAAATTTCCAGTTGGGTGACCATGAGTTCCATTAAAACCTGGAATGGGGTAAGTGTTCTATTACCTGAAGGAATAAAGGGTGAGTGGACGGTGGAGACAGTTCTACCACACCATCTCATTTTAAGAAAAACCCAGCCATCACCATTGCCCTACATGATTTGGTCACATGTTTCTTCTTCTTCTCCTTCTCCTTCTTCTTCTTCTTCTTTTTAGTTTTTTTTTTTTTTAGAGAGGGAGCAGGGGCAGGGGTAGAAGGACAGAGGGAGAGAGAGAGAATCTTAAGCTGACTCCATGCCCATGTGGAGCCTGATGTGGGACCACCAAGGGGCTCAATCTCACAACCCTGAGATCATGACCTGAGCCGAAATCAAGAGTTGGACACAACCAACTGAGCCACCCAGGCGCCCCAACATGTTTCTTCTTTATCCTCATCTGCTACTATTTTCCTTCTTACTGGTCTTGCTGTTTCTCTAAAAACCAAGCATCATCTCTATGATTCTATTTGCTTTTTCCTCTACCTGGAATAGTCTTCTCCCAGAATCCATGGCTCACTTCCTCACTTAAATTTCTGCTTTCTTGAGCATTGATACTGATTAGCATTGTCCTTCCCAACTCTTGCCTCTCCTTTGCTTTTCTTCTTAGAACCTATCATTATCTGACGTAATAAACATATTCCACCTTTGCTTGTTCAGTTTCTCATGTTTTGCACTCCCTAATTAATGATAAACTCTTTGTAATGTGTAAGTGTTTAAGAGCACTGACCTAAGTGCTCATGCTTTCTATATATTTAAACTGAGTTAATTCTCAGGACAACCCCCTCATTGACTCTTGCCATGCTATTGCTACATAACGAACCTCCCACAATTATGAGGCTTAAAACAATTATCATTTATTATTGTTCCTGTATCTGTAAGTTGACCAAGGGTAGATTGAGAGCAGGTTTAGCTGGACTTGCCTCTGAGCTCAAATTGGGTCCAAGTTGGTTCCTTGCACCAGAGAACTAGCTGAGGATGTTCTGCTCATGACAATGGCAGGGGCACAAGGGGGCAAGCCCCACCATGCAAACGCATTTCAAGCCTTTGTGTCATGTCTGTTAACATCCCATTGGCCAAAGCAAGTCATGTGGCCAAATACAACTTGAAAGGAACCGAAAAGTATACTCAATCATGAAGGTGGGGGAAGGGAATGTTTACTGAAAAATCATCAAATCTGCCATTTTATTATTCCTATTTTAGATGACGAAACTGAGGCCCCTAGGAAGGTAGGTAGCTGATCAAGGTCACATACTCAATACTGGTGGAATAGTTCTCGTCTAGCCAATATAACTCTAGTTTATACCACTGATATGAGAGCAAGAACTTAGTCTGTTTTATTCTCAGCACCTAGAACAGTGTTTAGCACTTAGAAGGCATTCAATAAATATTTGTGGAGCAAATAAATGAACTCAGCACAGTACATAGCCCTTGATTGGTTGGTACTTGATAAATGTTAGCTATTATTAAGAAAAATTATTCAAAACTTGGGAAGAAGGTAAAGGAAAGGCAGCCTGTCTTTTCAGTGTCACATTGGAACATCATTTAACCAGAAGATTACTTAATTATCTATGGAAATGTACCTCTTTTGACTCTTTTTTTTTTTTTTAAGATTTATTTTTTTTATTTGAGGGGTGATGGCCGAGGAAGAGGGAGAGAGAGAGAGAATCTTAAGCAGACTCCGTGGAACCCGGTGGGACTTGATCTAAAGACCCTGAGATCATTGACTCACTATTTACTACTGATTACAGATCTGAACTCTATGAAGTTGTATTTTTATTTACAGATTTTTGTTCATTACAGATTTAAATATTTCTAAAATCAAATTATTGTTTAAAAAGCCCCCAAACAAAAGTTAATGTTATAGTGTTCTGAAGGACATTAAGGAGTATTGTATCTAACCTAGTAATCTATTCTAACAGTCTTCCTCCACGGACAAGAAATCTTTTTCTCTAATTCCCTGTGGAACAACTTCACCATTTTGTTCCCTCAATAATGAGTTGAGTATATCTTTAACATGTCTTCATTCTCTGTATTGAGTTATTTAACTTCTTGAAAATTGTACTTTAATATTAGCACTGTAATCGAGTTGTTTTTTTCCCTGAATCTGAAGGTGGGTTTTCACTTTTAATTTAAGTCAACTCTTATTTACAGAATTTCTGTTTCTCTGGGGTAGGGGATGCAAAGCTGGACTGCAGGGGTGAGAGTAGAGATGAAGAAGCCCATTGTAAGGTGTTTGCTGTGATTCCCAGACTTGCACCCTAGGCACCGGAGGATCAAGGATTGCTGTGGCCCATACCCAGCACCCTTGATGGCCTGAAGTTGTTATAAAGGCTTTCCAGGAGCCTGTGTTAATTCAAGAGTCTGATCATGTCACTAGAAAAGCTTACAGATTGTCATCAGACTCAGATCCCCAAAAAGAGAAATTACTGAGGCTTCAAATCTTGCTAGAAATAACTATTTATCACTAATCAGTTATTATAATGGATTATTGAGGGCAACACTCCTTCAGAGCTACTATGAGAGAATTGGGGTTTTAAGATTTTATTTTGAAATGAACAAGTAAAGGGGACCCATTAAAAAAAGTTTAGTTCGAGGAACCCCCCTCAAAATTCTGGCTACTTCAGTCATCGGAGTTTCCTTAATAGTCTCAACAGATGTCATTAATAGGCCATACTGAAATCCCATTGCAATATCACGGAGACTGTCTTTAATCTGGAACTTTTCTCCCCAAACCTTTTACTCTTGGATTGCGTGATAATTCTAAGTACTACGTTGTAGTGTACAAAGAGCGGTATGCATTTCCGTATGGGGCGTATTAACATTCTAGTTAAGTGGCCGGTGAGGATCAGAAGCAGGACTTCGAATACCTAGATCTTCTATTTCCACAACCGGGAAAGTTGCATTGCCCGGTTAGCTCTTTTCTGGTAATATTTGGACAACCTTCAGCAAGGTGAATAAAAGTCCGTAGCGCTGGGCCTGAATTCCTGTTCCACTTTCTCCTTGTTAGGCAGCCACTTTGTGACTCAGTTCCCTCGCCCATAAAACAAGCTGACCAGTTGGAGCCCTGACTTTTTAGGGATTATATGAAATAATCAAGGTGAAGCATTTAGCATGGAGCTCGGCACCAGACAGCACTGCTTAAGCCAAGATTAATCAGTGCTGGGCTGTTGCTCTCGCTTGCTGGGAGCCTCACGGAACATCCAGTAGGCCAAGCAGCCGGAGGGCGGAAGCGGCGGCCCCCACCCAGCGGCTCAGACCCACAGAGGACAGGCCCTTTCTCCCGCGGGGTTCGGAGCCCGGAGCCCGAAGGCCCCACCCCCGGCGCTGACTCCGCCCCCAGCAGGCTGGGGCGGGGACGCCGTCTCCCGGGAAACGGGACGCGCAGCTCCTCTCCGGCCCGCGCCTCCGCGCGCAGGTCTCGCACTGCGGGCAAAGCCCTCAAGCCAAGTAGCAGCAGGTGGGGGAGAGGGGCCACGCTGCTTGCAATCGCCGGAGGAGGTGGGCGCCTCTCGCGACGCGTGTGGGAGGGAAGAGGCGTCCTCGTTGGGCAGGGGCGAGTGCGTGGAGCCGACCGGTCCCGCACCCTGTCGGACCTGCGGGATGGCTGCCCCGGAGGCGCGCCGCTTTCCAGAAGTCCCGGGCCTTCGCCTAACCTCGGTCGCTGGCCTGGGGGTGGCGGGCGTGATGGAGCTGGAGGAGGAAGAGGAGGAAGAGGAGGAAGAGGAGGAGGCGGCGGCGGCCAGAAGAGCGCGGAGTTTCGCCCGAGACGCGCGGGTGCGCTTTCTCGGCGGCCGCCTGGAGCTGATGCTGGGGCTCCCGGCGGAGAAATGGAGCCAGTATTTGGAGAGCGAGGACCACCGGCAGGTGCTGGGGGAGTTCCTGGAGAGCCCTAGCCCCGCCTGCCTGGTGTTCAGAGTCGCCACCGCGGGGCCGCTCGCGGTCTCCCGGGAGGTAAGGGGCGGCAGGCAAAGGGACCCGTTCTCGCCGCCTGCCCTGCATAGCGGGGACAGACCAGTCGCGCCTTCTTGGATTCCCGTGGGGCACGCGCTCGGGCGCTTTAAAAAGCTCTCTTTGGAGCTCTTGCCCTGGAGTCTGCAAAATCCCCCACGTGCGCCCACTCTGCAGTTAAGCAGCTGTAGTTTAGTTTTCTAGAAGGTCGGCTTGTTCGACCGGGATAAAGGAGGAAAAGCTGTGCTTTCTTTAGCTGCCTGGGCCTTAGGTGCAAGGTGGGTTCTCGGTTCCCGATAACTTCCGTTTCAGGCGCTCTTGGATCAGTCTGGGGGCCTGTCTTTAAAAAATGTTTAGCAGAGTCTGAATAATTGGTTCTGTGCTCATTCTGACTGCTTTGTCACATTTCATCTCGAGTAAAATAGTCCTTAAAGGAGTTCCCCGGGCAGTCTGCACACACGTGGTATTTAGCAACCATGGTAAATTTTTTTTTCTTTCCATCTTTTTCCCTTTTTCTTTGCTCTCCTTCCTTCCTTCTCCCCCCCCTTTTTTTTAATTAAAAAAAAAAAATTTAGACTGCTCCTCCGCTTGAAGGTTAAGGTATCACAAGTACAGCATTTGTATTCAGTTTTTTCTTTTTAAGTGAAAAGTTTGGAACATGATTTACAGTCTTCAGTGTTGTACCGTGCCTCAGTGTAATGTTATACAAGTGTTTATCATCATCACTAGATGTGGTCACTTTAATAGTTGGGAAATGGAATCCCAGAGAACAGGAGTCTGCCTTAGGATTTTGAGTTTTGAAATTTTTTGTTCTCCTACTTTTGCAGTTATAACTAATTAAAAATTTTGTCAAACAAGGAAGTAGGACACTTAACTCCAGTATTACCCAAGTTAAATGATTATATCTGAAGAAATAACGCAGTAGTTGTGGAAATGGTAGAATATCTTCATTAACCACTTTATCTCGAGAATAGAAATAAAAATTAACCTCCTGTGCCTGGTCTTCATTTCAGTTTGGCTTATTTCCAAACAACAACAACAAAAAGATTATAAAAAGGATTAAACCTTTCCTGAGATAGAAAACTTCTAAATTCTCCTTGAATTTGTTTTTAATTACTAGATGTTATGGGATGTAATGATCTTGGGTAACTGACATGCCCTTTAAAGGCAACACTTCCACACCAATAATGTCATTAAATTAGCATTATAAAAGAACAAAGAAAACTGTATACATTTTGTAGAAAGGGGGGAAGGGAAGCAGAACTACCTTATTTATAAAGGTAGGCAAGATGCCAGGGTTTTTTCTTTTTTCTAGCGATCGAGCTACAAGTTAGATACAGCAAATCCTGTTTGTTAACATGGAAACTATACTGTGAACTTAAACTAATTATCTTGCTCTTGTTTCAGATTCCAAGAGATGCAAAACATAAACTTGTTTATATTGCCAAGAAGATTACCGAAAACATTGGAGTAAATGATTTTTCTCAGACGGTTTTATTTGGAGAGTTAACTGCATCATCATTTGGACATGTAACTGCTTTCCTAGATGAGGTACTAGTTTTTAATATTTGAATCTTTATCTCTATGACGCTTGGCATTATTCAGAAAAACTCTGGCTATTAAAAAACTGTAGAAGCCAGTAATCTCTTGAGCCAAGTAGATGGAATGTGATAACAGACTGTTCCTGAAATGAGATGATACTGGTGCTGATATTCAACGGACGGTAATTTGTAGGATCATCCTTCTTTGTTTCTAAATAACAGAAGTAAAAAGCAGCTTGAATAGGCTTTTGTAATTAGCTGTAGTTTTAGATTTCACGTTGATTAGAGACAAACTGACACTTTGGAAATGAGTATTAGTTTTTCAGATTTCCCTTAGTTTCTGTGTCACTCAGTTCAGATAAGGGGGAAAAGGTAATGGAAACAAAGTTTTTGAAATGATTGCGTTAAAATTCCTCTTTCCTCTTCCCTTAAATCAGAGAAAAGCTCTCTAAACCCAGGTTACTTACACTTTTAATGTAGGGTTTTTTAATGTGGGGTTTTTAAAGTGGGACTTAATGTGGGATGCGGGGGGATTTTATTAAAGGCAGGCTGCTCCAGGAGGTCTGGGCTGGGGCCAGTCTTCTTCCTGTCTAACCTCCTACTTCTGGTGTTCGTTCACAGACCAGCTTTGAGAAAAGATGTACCAAATGATCAGGTTCTATAGAGCTAGAGCAGTGGTTCTCAAACTTTGCTGAACATGAGAATCACCTGGGGAATTTTTCTAACCGACCCTTGCCCCGGTCACTCCTAATACCAATTAAATGAGAAAGACTTGGAACCCAGTGGAAGTTAAAGATCCCCAGGTGATTCTCATGTGTCCCCAGTTTTGGGAAACGCTGGATTAGAAATCAGATCTCTGGCATCAGTTCAGTCCTGCCAAGGCCAATGCTTAAGGTAGGAATAATTACCAGCATATTTATTACTAATGATTTGCCATTCTCCCTGTTTCAAGCCCAAATTCATGTGTTGGTTGGAAGATGGTTGTGGTAATGCACATTCTAGGAAAGTTTTTATCAGAGCAGGCTTAATTAGGAAGTTGTAGAGTCAAATGGAATGTCAGTGGTCCCTCATGACTTGCATTCCAAGCTAATCAACTTGTAACTTTCTGATTTGTACATTAACGAGAAACACACACTACATACAAGGACTGGTGGATTGGTGATTCTGTTGAATGAAGGAGAGACTGATAGAGTGATTGCTTTGAAAGGTACTGAGGGAGTTTTCCAGTGTTTGGCTGCTTTTTTTTTTTTTTTTTTTTTTTAAGATTTTATTTATTTGAAAGAGACACAGCGAGAGAGGGAACACAAGCAGGGGGAGTGGGAGAGGGAGAAGCAGGCCTCCCGCCGAGCAGGGAGCCCAATGAGGGGCTCCATCCCAGGACCCCGGGATCATGACCTGAGCCGAAGGCAGACGCTTAACGACTGAGCCACCCAGGTGCCCCCCAGTGTTTGGCTTCTTAAATGGGGATAGAATAAGGAAGGGATGGACCAAGTGTTTGAACTGAAGGTGGGGAAGGTCATTTGTGCCTTCATATTTACTTTTTTCTCATTTAAATGATACTCTCACTTATGTTGAACAGTTTTTGGAGTTTGACTCCGCCCCACAGAGTAATGGGAATTGACGCTGATGTGCTTGGGGCCTCCCAAACTTCTCTCTCCAGCCTGGATCTCTCTTCTAAATTCCAAGCTCAGATGTCCCCCTTCCTTGTGGACATGGCCACTCAGTGTGTAATGTCTCAAACCTAACCTATCCAAAGTTGAACTCCCAATCTTCTCTACATTATAATGTGTTCCCATACAGTATGGTTTGTAGCTGTATTGTATTTAGCCAAACTGTTTAAAATGTTATATAGCTATTTCTTTATTATAGTGACCCTAATCCTTAAACAGTAGTTGTGAATTATCATTATTACTCATTTGACTTATCGAGCCCATATGGAAGTCTGATTTGGTTTTTGTAGTGTCCAGGTCCCATCCTTGGGCATTACAATTTAAGAAGTCTGGGAGAGGCCCTGGCTCCTACAATTTTGAAAGTATTGACCAGGTATTAGTCTCTACTTAAGAACCATTGTAAAAAGAAAATCTCCAGTTTAAAGAAGGATTAAAGAGATGGGCACCTGGGTGGCTCAGTCAGTTGGGCTTTTGACTCTGGATTTCAGCTCCTGAGGTGGTGTCCGGGTTGTGGGATGGAGCCCTTGCTTGGGCCTCTGCAGTTGGTTTGGAATCTGCTTGTCACTCTCCCTCTGCTCCTCCTTCCACTCATGTTCTCTCTCTCTCTTTCTCAAATGAATAAAATAAAATCTTAAAAAAAGATCAAAGAAGGTAAGTAGAGAAAACCATAGCCAGGGCCCTATAGTTCTTTAATTTGTAGTTATACATTGTACATCAATTGAATATGTAAACATTCAAATTATTTTAATTCTCAGAAGAAGTTTGGAATTTTTCCTTTAAACCACAAAAAGTAGGCAAAAAAACTTCCCAACGGAAACAAAACAAAACCCCCAACTAATTGAATTACTTTGTATATAGTTTAACAAATTGTTTTGTAATTAAACAGCACATCCCAGGTCTATTTGTTTTAAATGAGGTTTGCAGTGATGCTCTAGCTCTTTGACTAATCACTCTGCAAAGCACATGGCTCAGAATTTCACAGTTTTATCTACAGAGTGTGACAGAAATACTTTAAAAGAAGTTGGCTTCGTCATAGAATCATAAATGGAGTGAAAGTTTGAAACCGTACCCAGTGAATTAGCTATGCCGAATAATCAGAATTTTCCTCACGCCTGATGTTCAGAAATAGTTTTTGAGATCTGGGATTTAGTCGAGAAGGAAGTTTTCCAGTGGGTCAGTGCATGTTCCAAGCCCAACAAACTTTAACTCTTCAGTGTAGTTTCCAAAGTTCTTCGTGAACTACCCTGCCTTTCCCAAAGCTAATTCCAGGCAGGCCAGACTGGCAGTTTTGCAGAAGCCTTCTATTTCTAGAGCCCTGAATGATTTTTATGTATCAGTGTGTTTATCTTGTGTCTCCACTTGGCATCCTGAATATGCCTCGAATGATGGCCGTTCTTAGAGCAAAGGACCTAACCCACTGAGCTCATCGCAGGCAGAGACTATTTCTTACTCTGCTGTTTTCCTAGCTTGACATGTAGTGGGCGCTATGCAGGAAAATGTAATAATAAAATTTGGAGAGATTTGTTTCAACACTGTCAGAAAACAAAAGTGATTGTATTGTTGAAATAGACTTTGAAAAGGTGGAGTAATTATATTCTGAGCATTTTAGCTAATGGCAATTTTATGGAAAAATGCCGGTACACCTGGCAGATTATCAGAAAAATGAAAAGTGTTGAGAATTAGGAGATACTAGAAAGGGGTGGGAAAGCAAGAAGAGGCTAATAACTTCACTCAACAAATTCTTAACATATGCTGGGCCCTGGGAATACAAAAATAATTGTTAAAGGCTTTCACATACATGGTGTCACATATATGATGCTCCCAATTTAATGGTAGAGGGAGTTCCAAAAAAGGGCCATATGATTAATAAACAAGTTTTTGACTGTGAAACTTGAATCCACTGGTATGCCACTCAGGGCTTGAGAAGATTAATTTACTTTTGCCTCGATGTGATTCAAAAAGATTTTTTTCATTTATGTACCTGCCATTGTGTTCAGTTTGCATGAAGAAAGCCGTTTGCTTACCTGACATGGTTGTGCTTAGTTTATGCGTGTTTGAGTCATTGGGAACCTCCTCGAATGCCTAATGAATGGGTAGATGAATGAACAAGCCGCATTGTATTTCCACTTTGAAAGATTTTGTCTAATTGATGAAGTCTAAATGGGATACTGATTTTTGTCCTCTCTTTGTAAATTTGATATCCTAGGAAAATATTTAAGAAATTGAGTGGTTTTTGTGGCCGATTTTGTGTGACAAGAAAATCTTTGAAGGAGTAAATTGTCTGTAAATTAACTTCTTTTAAAAATGTTTCTCTTTCTGTAGATTTTAGTGCCAATTCTTTCTAATAGGAACAACCATAAATCCTGGTCCTGTTTCATTTCACAAGACATGGAATGCCACTTAGAAGTCATGAAAAGTAAAATGCATGTCTTTCGGGGCAAAATGTTGAGAAGAACTCTTCTACCAATTCCCACGATAGCAGGGAAAATGGACCTGGGTCGGAAATACTCTGAGACCAAGTATGTAATGCTATGGTTTATATAGGATATTAAAATGGAAAGCCCACATACCCAATTAGTATCATATCCCCAGAAAACTATTAGTAAGATAGAGAATTATTAGAACTATATTATTTTTTAAAAAGTTATGCAGAGCACCTATATATTATTTCCTTACAAAGTATCCTTCTTATAAGCAGACTGCCCAAAAAGCAAGCTGTAACAATTGCCATGATGTCAACAAAATTATTTTGGCAATAATGGTTTGAGGATATGATCATTTGTTTTATAATGTTTATGCCACAACTGAAATTGAGGCTATAAAAATAAAGGATCTGATTTTGAAATATTTATATTTGGAAAACTAGTTCATGGAAAAAATACTGCTTACCATCCAAGTCCTATCTTCCTTTGGATGAGGTAATTGGTTTTTGAATTATTTTATTGATCATTTCAGTGTTTGTACGGTAGAGGTAAATGAAAGGACACTACTCCATGCGATTGAATCTGTGGTTATTAAATGGTCACATCAAATCCAAGAGATTGTAGAGAAAGATTCAGGGCAGCCTTTGCTGAATGGTCTTCACTCGAATCCTCAAACTGAACTGGATTTCTGGATGATGAGGAGAGAGAATCTATCATGCGTTTATGACCAAGTAAGTAGATAGCCTTACAAATTGCTTGTAAGCTAAATTAGCAAAGTCAGTTGTAGAATTTGGCTTCTGGAGCAACGATTTCACTTGAAAGGTTCAACATACTGTCTTTGATGACTTAATAGTTTGTTCTCATTCCAAAATTCTATATGGTGTGCACTTGAAAAATGAATGGGGATTGGGTGCCTGGGTGGCTCAGTCGGTTAAGCGTCTGCCTTCGGCTCAGGTCATGATCACAGGGTCCTAGGATCGAGTCCCATATCGGGCTACCTGCTCAGCGGGGAGCCTGCTTCTTCCTCTGCCTCTCTCTCTCTGTGTCTCTTATGAATAAATAAATAAAATCTTTAAAAAAAAAAAAAATTCTCTCTCTCAAAAAAAAAAAAAAAAAATGAATGGGGATTGGGGCACCTGGGTGGCTCAGTCGATTAAGCCTCTGACTCTTGATTTCTGCTCAGGTCATGACCTTCAGGGGCGTGAGATTGGAGCCCAGCATCAGGCTCGGAGCTGGACATGGAGCCTGCTGGGGATTCTCTCTCTCCTCTCCTCTCGGCCCCTTACCCCCAACTTGTGCATGCTCTCTCTCTCTTTCAAAAGAAAAAGAAAAAGTAAAAATGGGGATTAAAAGTAATTTTGCCTTTTTGAGAATATTTTGACAGCGTTTGATAATTGGAAACACTGTGGCATAGAGTGGTTCCCCAGGGAAATGTTGAAGATGGTAAAATTTAATTTAGTTGATTGAATTGATTTAGGAAGGAGTAGAGTCTTGCTTGGTGGAGAGATACAGCTTTGGAAAAGCTAACTTTGCTTCCTCTTGTGTTTGCCTTACGTATTACTTGATTTAATGTTCTGAAAATTAAGACATTCATTTGCATGTTCACATGTCTCAGATTTTCTGAAACATAGCAAGAAATTTTATGTGGAAAATTTAACATTTTACACGAAGTGTAAATTGACACACTTTTTGAAAACTCAAGAGCTATAAATGTAAAATAAAATTCAAGCTTAAGGAAGAAATGCTGTTAAAAAAATTTCAACCTGAAACCAGATAAGTCTTTGTGTATGAAATGCTGTGTGTATTATGCATGAGTGGAATAGAACTGAAGTATTTTATTACCGAATGCATCTATTTAGTCATTAATCCAGCTTCTACTACATTTTCTTTTTCAATTTAGCTTCAAGCTCCTGTTGTCCTCAACATGGTTAGGATCCTGAAAATTAAACAAAGCAGCTATTTTCCAACTTTGAAGGACATTTTCACGGCTGTGAAAAATGGTAAGATTCTTGTTTTTTTTGGCCTGGTGTTGGTGTCCTGCCTGATCTGACCCCTGCCTGCCCGCCCAGCCTCTTCTACCCTTCTGCCATTAACATGTTCATGAAGTGATGGCCCTTGACTCTTTTAAGGATAAATTCATCTTCATCAGTACTTCATTCTCCAGTTATATTGAACTATTTCTAGAATAGATTGTGGGGACGTAGCAAATGGGCTCCAGATGGAAGTTCTAATGGGAATGTGTGTGTGTGTGTTTGTAGGGGCAAGACCTTTGCAGGGGGTGAGTGGAAGCCCAACATGGGGGTTTCCTAGTCAACAGTGTGGCTACATTTAATCCCATAGCTCTCTGGTAGAGTCTCTCGTGCTTGGCATCCACCGCTTACCTAGCTTAAAAGAGCTCAAAGTCTTCATCGAAGTTTTGGTGAGGATTAAACATAGAGGAGGTTTGTTTGCTGAATTTTGAACAAGTGCATGCATACGGTTAAAAACCAGAATTTCCAGTGAAAAGTCTCCTTGTCTCCTCACTGTCCAGTGTCAGCTCCACCCAGAGGTGACAGCCCTCTTGTTTCTTGGTTTCTCTTCATGTTTCTTGAGGCATATTCAAGCAAAAAGGCATACAAATGAGACTGAAGTTTTAAATGTTGAAAATGTAAGCTATTTGGGGGTATAGCTTTTTTGGTTTCTAACATTAGAAAATGAGTTCTTAATTTCTTTCTAATATAACTATGTAAAGTTAGGAAATACTTAAAATACACTTCATTGTTATCTCTTCAGGGTTTTCCCCAGGAGCTCTGTTGGGAAAGGGATCATGAGGGGGAATATTTGGGTTTGAAGGTTTGTCAGATCAGGATTCCTGTCCCAGATCCACTTAGTACATCCTAAATTTGCTGAGCCTCTGGTTTTCATTGGCCAGACTGGCATATTAACACCTTCCTTGCAGAATTATTCTGAGGATTAGAGTAATATTTCAAAACATGGTCATTTTCTTTTCAATCTTGTCAGTGTTTATCACCATTGACATTTTGGGCAGGATGATTGTTGTAGGGAGCTGCTCCATGCATTGCTGGATGTTGAGCAGCGTCCCTGGCTCCCACCCACTCCCCCTGTTGCAGTTGTGACCATCAAAAATGTCACCAGACCTTGCCAGATGACCCCTGGGGGCAAAACCTTTCCTGGCTGAGAACCATTGAATTGAAGATAAAATATACAGGGTACATAGTACTAGGCACCCAGTGAGCATGTCCTCAGTAAGTAGAAGCTGCTTGAATTTTTTATGTGTTAGTATAAGATGAACATTTTCTGTGGGTAAAGCTTCTGCAGGAACAAATCCCAGCGGTACTCAGGGCCTTAGGAGCACATGGACTTCGAGATTCAGACATAAGCACTTTCAGTAGAACAAGTGGCCCAAAGCCATTGTCAGTTAGAGGTGGAAGGCCCCTCTCAAGGATGTCCTTGAGGACTTGTGAAATCACCACATGTGCTTATCGTATTTTAAAGGCACTTAGCAGATGTGATTATTTAATTTTGAAATAAACATGATTAAAAACACTCTAATTTGAAAACAGGAATACAACCAGGGAAGAAAATACTTCCTGGATGCTCTCTCTCTTCCGAGGTCTTTATTGTTTAGGTGGACAGATAAATGGGTTATATGTTAAGTGGAGTAATAGGAGTGGGTGCATTCCTGACTCTGACAGCCAAAAAAAAGTTGGCAGGTTTGTTTGTGTTGCTTTGTTTTTTTTTTCCTCTCCTCTGGACAGGAGTCTTTTGGCATAACACCAGAAAATAAGAATTTACTTCATTCCCTACCTTCATAAGTAAATCCAGTTTTCAGTTAATCAAAGGCATTTGCAGTTTCAGGGACAAAATGCAGTTTGATTTAGGGTACATTAAAATGACTTTTTTTTTTTTTTTTTGAGGGAGCAGGTTGAGGGGTGGAGGGGAGGGGAAGAGGGAGAGCGAGAATCTCAAGCAGGCTCGATGCCCAGCACAGAGCCTGATGTGGGGCTCGATCTCACAAACCTGAGATCATGACCTGAGCCGAAATAGAGTCAGGTGCTTAACCAACTGAGCCACCCAGGCGCCCCAATTTTTTTAAGTAAGCTCTGCACCCAGTGTAGGGTTTGAACTCACCATCCTGAGATTGAGTTGCATGCTCTACTGACTGAGCCAGGAGTCCCTAAAATGACTAATTTTAATGAAGAGAAAATTTGGATTACATTAAGCAGTAATAATATTTTTCTTCATATATATATATACATACATATATGGGGCAATGAGTACACGGATTTTTTGGGGGAGATATTCCTTATTCACCCTGCTTAATGATTTTTTAAAATTTATTTTTAAAGATTTTATTTATTTATCTGACAGACACAGTGAGAGAGGGAACACAAGCAGGGGGAGTGGGAGAGGGAGAAGCAGGCTCCCAGCTGAGCAGGGAGCCTGGTGCGGGGCTCGACCCCAGGAACCTGGGATCATGACCTGAACCAAAGGCAGACGCTTAATGACTGAGCCACCCAGGTGCCCCTGCATAATGATTTTTAATATGGAGATAAAATTCATTTCACATCAAGATAACTATTTTGAATTGTAGAGTTGAATGACATTTATTACATTCACAATGTCTTACAACCTTTATCTCTAGTTCCAAAACATTTTTTATCACCTGTATTTAACAATTTTAGTAGTTGTATTTTGAATAATCTAGAATTCCACTGTCATTGCCTGAGTTACTCTCCTAGGACACTGGGATGAGACGCTAAAATTGTGCTGGTACCAAGTGCCTAAGAGGAATTAACATTCTAGGGATGAGCTTGTAACCCCAACCATAAAGTCACAACCACTTTGCAGACCTGTTTTATTCCTGCGGTTTCATGGAGTTGAGTGAAGTTCCTTAGATCTTAAAGATATGTTTTCCCATGGAGTCTTGCGTCACGATTTACTTGGGCTGTGTAGGTAACTACACCAGGGCTCTCTTGAATGGCTGCTCCACACAGACTGTGAATAAAGCCTTCCAAACCCATAGTAGCTCAGTTGTGGGATAAGCCATATAAAAAGAAAGATGACGGGGCGCCTGGGTGGCTCAGTTGTTAAGCATCTGCCTTCGGCTCAGGTCATGATCCCAGGGTCCTGGGATTGAGCCCCGCATCAGGCTCCCTGCTCAGCAGGAAGCCTGCTTCTCCCCCTCCCACCCCCCCTGCTTGTGTTCCCTCTCTCGCTGTCTCTCTCTGTATTAAATAAATAAAATCTTTGGGCGCCTGGGTGGCTCAGTTGGTTAAGCGACTGCCTTCAGCTCAGGTCATGATCCTGGAGTTCCGGGATCAAGTCCCACATCGGGCTCCCTGCTCGGCAGGGAGTCTGCTTCTCCCTCTGACCCTCCTCCCTCTCATGCTCTCTGTCTCGCAAATAAATAAAATCTAAAATAAATAAATAATAAATAAATAAAATCTTAAAAAAAAAAAAAGAAAGATGACTGCATAAGAATAGCCATGTTCTTTTGCATTGTTTTGTTGAACTTGTGAAGTGAATTTAGAAAAAGAGACTGCATCACATTCATGGTGGTTTTCTTTCCTTTCAGCGCTCCTGGAAGCCCAGGATGTAGAGCTTTACCTGAGACCCCTGAGAAGACATGTTCAGTGTCTCCAGGAGACGGAATTCCCGCAGATCCGTGTACTCATTGCCCCATTATTTCATACCATCTGCCTCATCTGGAGTCATTCCAAGTTTTATAATACTCCTGCTCGGATTATAGTTTTATTGCAAGAGTTTGGTAATCTCTTCATTGACCAGGTATGTAGTATTAAAAAAAAGGAAGAACAATCAGTGCCATGTGGTAGGTTTTAATAAACCAAGGGAGAGCAAATAAATCTAATCTATAGTAAGAACACCATTTTCCTTTTTTCAGAAAGGACTTTTATGGTAACAAAGAACAGGTGATTTTTTTTTTTTTTAAGATTTTATTTATTTATTTGACAGAGACACAGCGAGAGAGGGAACACAAGCAGGGGGAGTGGGAGAGGGAGAAGCAGGCTTCTGCTGAGCAGGGAGCCCGATGCGGGACTCGATCCCAGGACCCTGGGATTGTGACCTGAGCTGAAGGCAGTCGCTTAACCGACTGAGCCACCCAGGTGCCCAGACCAGGTGATTTTTTTTATTCTAAATGTCTGAGAAGCTCTGGAAATCAGTCCAGTGCATTCAAAGGGCAGTTTGTTACTGGATTTAATACCCTACCTTTCTTCAAAGAGATTGAAGGCAGCTTTTAATAAAAGGCAGATAGGGTGCCTGGGTGGCTCAGTTGGCTAAATGTCTGACTCTTGATTTTGGCTCTGGTCATGATCTCAGGGTTGTGGGATTGAGCCCTGTTTCGGGCTCCAGCGCTGGGCATGGAGCCTGCTTGAGATTCTCCCTCTCCATCTGCTCCTCTCCCACTCCACCACCCCCCGACACAAAATAAATAATAAAAGGCAGATAGGCATAGTCCTTTCTTCGTAGCTTTCCCTTTGGTTTCCACAGGAACACTGACTGATGGAAGACTTTTGGAAAGTAAAGTAAGAGAACCTGGCTGCAAAAAAAAAAAAAAAAAAAATGCTGAAAATATAGTAATGCAATTGTATTTTAAAAATTGATTCATAGTTGATCTTTAAAAATCTCTTGTTTGTATTTGTTTCTCTATTCTTCACTTGGAAAATGTTTAAAAAATTGGACTGCTTAAATTTTCTGTATGAACTTTAATTCTTCATGGGTTCATAAAATCAGAGAATATTATATAATTTGAGAGCTAAGAGATGCTTGGAGGGCACATAACCCAGTGGTTCTCAGTTGGGGGTGTGTCTGAGTCCGCTTGAGCTGCGTAATGAAATACCACAGACTGGGTGGCTTTATTTTCAGAAGTTGTTTTCTCACAATTTCAGAGACTGGGGCTCAGATGAAGGTGCCAGGATGGTCGTGTTCTGGTGAGAGGTTTCTTTTTCCTGGCTTTCCGTAGCTGCCTTTTCTCTGTGTCCTCACCTGGTGGAGAGAGAGATCTTAAAAAGTCACAGTCCTATCACATTAGGGTCCTGCTCTTCTGACTTCATTTGACCTTAATGACCTCCTGAAGACCTATTTCTAGAGAGTCACATTGGTGATTAGGGCTTCAGCATATGAATTTTGGGGAGGAGACATTCTCACCGTAGCAAGCCCCGTAAGCAAGGTGTGTATCTGAACCACTAAGTAGTTTTTGTAAAACAAACGCCAGAGAAGCAGAATCTCTGTCTATAGCTTTGACTTTGAGTTGTTAGGAATGCTTTCCCTGAGAAGTGGAGAGCCTCCTGCTGCAACTGACAACCTGAAGCAAAAAAAAAAAAAAAAAAAAAATGTAAATTTGTGTGAACTGGCAAGTCTAAAAATGCAGTGGCTTCTGGAACAGCTTGTTTCCGAGGTCTCCGATAATAAATTCCAAGCTCCCAGCCATCCTCCATTTTGGTCATTGTGTTTGACTTTATTCTCATCACTTGTTAAGTAAGATGGCTTTTAGTAGCTCCAAATGTGTATCTTTCTCGCAGAGGAACTTCCCCGGAAAGAGGGTGTCCTTTCTTAGTTCTGGTCCAGTGGGTTCTAATTCCGTTCTGGGAGCAATCGTTGTGGCAGAGGAGATAGGCTGCTTGGGACAGTTCTGGGTCACTTGCGCAGAGGAGGGTGGGTGACTGTGATTGACCTAAATCTCAGATCGAGACTAATGCCTCCCAGTGGTGTTGACACTGTGACTCGCATAGAAAATAAAAATACTGGGGCGCCTGGGTGGCTCAGTCGGTTAAGCGACTGCCTTCGGCTCAGGTCGTGATCCTGGAGTCCCGGGATCGAGTCCCGCATCGGGCTCCCTGCTCAGCGGGGAGTCTGCTTCTCCCTCTGACCCTCCCCCCTCTCATGTGCTCTCTCTCTCCTCTCATCCTCTCTCTCAAATAAATAAATAAAAATCTTTAAAAATAAAAAATAAAAAATAAAAAATAAAGAAAATAAAAATACTGTACATTTGGGTAAGTTGGAGGGCATTCGGAACCCTGAAAGTGTGCTCATGGACAAGGCGAATAGCTTGTAACTCCCACTGCCCCAGGCCCCGGAACCTTGCTGTTAGAAGCAGTAAAGAGAACATTGTTGTAGGATGAACAGCAGTGGTTTGGGAACTGTGTTTCAATCCAGTCCCTGATGTTTTTATTAGATGAATTACCTGAGACTTGAAAAATGACATCATTTGCTAAATTTCCCTGAAAATTGAGGGTGAAATCCAGATTAGAGAATGGGTCTCCTAACTTGGCAGTTTAGAGTTTCTGGATTGTGAGATTGAGTCAGCAATGTGTGTGTTTCTCTCTGCTTTTAAAGAGGTGGAGTATATGGAAAAGGACTGTGGGCTCAGACCAACCTCAATTCAATTCTAATTGAAACACTGAAGGGGGAGTTAAATTGGTTCTTCAAAACCTCAGTTTTCCATATCTGTGAGGATAATGCCCAGTTCATGGGCTGTTTTGAGAATCAAGAGGTAACCTAAGTTGAGTGCCTTGTGTGGCATTTAATAGAGGCTCAGTCAAAGCTAGTTCTAAGCTATTGACCTCCAAACTAGTTGTAGCTATTGATGGGAGATAACAGGTCCATTCCTTACTATATTTTATTCTCTCCTCTGGCTTTGTTCTGTTTCTTTCTTCGTTGTTAAACAAGTGTGCTGGGTCCTAATGGCTTTGGATCTCAATGTTAAAGACCATAATCCCTATTGAAGAGTCAACAGTTAGACTCACAACTTATGCTATACCCCTTTTAAAGGATCTTCATCTCATTTTGAGATTTATTAAAACTTTTACTACAAAGCCCTGCTAATGTGTAAACTTCAGAGGTGGTTTTCATTATTTATTTATTTATTTATTATAGTAGGTGGCTTATAAGAAGTCCTGTAAGCCTGTAAACCTATTATCCCTGGTCTCTAGTCTATGTCAGTGGCCAGTTTGCCAAGCTCCCAAGGAAATAATGTAGCTTCCCTTGTTGCTTAGTGTTTCTGGCTTCTGTCCAAATGTTCTGATGACCTGGTTTTCTTTACGGTCAAGTGGACTTCATTGTAATGTGTCTCAACATGTTAGGAATCACAAATCAGTAATGGGCCAACTTTCATACCTGGGTTCTCTGAAGAGCTGAACTCTCCCCAAGTCTTCCCCAGTGATTTGCTCTCCAGTTTATTTCTTATATTAACAAGCACTGTATAGTGCCTTTTATTTGCTAGGAACTCTTTTTTTTTTTTTTAAAGATTTTATTTATTTATTTGAGAGAGAATGAGAGAGAGCACATGAGAGGGGGGAGGGTCAGAGGGAGAAGCAGACTCCCCGCCGAGCAGGAAGCCCGATGCGGGACTCCATCCAGGGACTCCAGGATCATGACCTGAGCCGAAGGCAGTCGCTTAACCAACTGAGCCACCCAGGCGCCCCTGCTAGGAACTCTTCTAAGCCTTTACAAAAACTACAAATGTAATTCCCTAGCAATACTATAACATATAGGTACTATGAGTAATCCATTTTATAATTTCAAAAAATCCCTTGAAGTCAAGAGAAGATAAATAGCTTTCCTAAGGTTACCCAGTTTTTAAGTGGCAGAGTTTCTTAACCATTATAGGCTCCATATTTTAAAATGACAGTTTTGATTTTTATATATTTATTATTCATTTACTTTTATTAAGGTTTTGTTTTAATTCCAGTAGTTAACAGTGTTATATTAGTTTCAGGTGTATAATGTAGTGATTTGACACTTCTGTACATCATTGACTCTTCTGTCCATTACCCAGTGCTCATCACAAGTGCACTCCTTAATCCCCATCACCTATTTCATCCATCCCCCAACAGTTTTGATTTTTAATTAGAATGTGATATGTGGTGTACTAATGATAATTATAAAATATTTTCATTGCATAAAACTTATAATAATAGAAATACTCCACATCTATCACCATAAAATTCACCTTTTTTTATATTTCATTCTGAGAACTTACGCATTTTTATGCATTTTATCATACATATAATTTTTTTACTAGCTCCTTGAAAAGTTATTTTATTATTGGATATTTAGGTTGCTTCCAGTCTCCTCTATTAAAGCAATAAATAACTTTATATGAGAGTCCTTTTTCCTTAACTTGGGTAATTGGTTTAATATAAATTCTTTTTTTTTATATGGTTTAATATAAATTCTTGACATTGATCAAAGGGTATAATCTTTTCATGATTCTTGAACAATTTTTGACATTTACAAATTCTTTTTTAAAAGGTTATGTCTGGGGCACCTGGGTGGCTCTGTTGTTAAGCGTCTGCCTTTGGCTCGGGTCATGATCTGAGGGTCCCTGCTCCGCAGGAAGCCTGCTTCTCCCTCTGCCCCTTAACCTGCTGTTGCTTTCTCTCTCTCTCTCTCTCTCTCTCTCAAATAAATACAGTCTTTAAAAAAAAAAATGTAATTGCTCAAAGCTGGTGAATTACAGTAAAACATTTACGAGAGCTTCAGGTACCCCTTTGGGAAGGTCATGTGCTGTCTAGGTGACCATGGCCTCCACCATTTGCTGCTGTTCCTGGTTGGCTCCATTCATTTTCATTATATGACTGATCCTTCTAGGCATTCCAGTTTCAGATCTTTTTATTTTAGAAGTAAATATGTTTCTCTTCACTTGTTTTCTAAGTGTCCATTAACATAGTCATTTAGGCCAGACTTAAAAAAGGCATCATCTCATCATCTGGCCACCTCACATGATGGCATACCGGAGTTTTGATAATGGGGTCTTTTTTTTTTTTTTTTCTTATGACTTACTTCTTTTCTCTGGTAACCTGACTTTACTCACTGTTTGTTGTACCTCATTACCACTCTAGGCCCACCACTCTGTCTATTCCATAGCTTGGTATCTCTTTTATGGATATTGCCCTTCAAATCCTAGGTGATGAGGAGCTCCTGGGTGGCTCAGATGGTTAAGCATCTGCCTTTGGCTCAGGTCATGATCCCAGGATCCTGGGATCAAGCCCCACATCGGGCTCCCTGCTCAGCAGGAAGCCTGCTTCTCCCTCTCCCTCTGCCTGCCACTCCCCCTACTTGTGCTCTCTCTCTCTGTCTCTCTGTCAAATAAATGATTAAAATCTTTATTAAAAAAAACTAGGTGTAGAAAAGTTTAAGTCTGAGAGGTGAGCTTGGAAAAGAGATGTCAGGTTTGAGTAAAAGTAAGAATCCATAAAAGCACATAAAAAAGAAAAGCAGCAGCAGGGAGACAGGCATCCAATTAACATAGTATCACTGATAAATTGTTTAATTAATAATTGATTAGTGGGCTTATTGGTAAATAAATTGGTTAGCAGTATTTTGGTGTATAAGGCCTCTGAAGTGGGGACCAGGTCATCCTAAATCCCATGGGTTTTTTTGTTGTTGTGTGCTGATACTTGAGTATGGGAGAATAGGGTACGCATGGTTGGGTATGCTCCAGAGAGCTGCTCTAGGGAGCAAAAAAGAATTCAGAGTTGAAGAGCTACAAGGGATTTTGAGGCTCACTTAATTCATCTCTCTCCTTTCGTAGACGAGGAAACTGAGATCCTCGGAGATAATTTAGCTAATATCACAAAAGCAATTAGTGGCCCCTAACTGGATCGTAGCCAGGTCTCCTGCCTCCTGTTGGTGGTTTTTCCCTCACACACCCTACTGCCCATTGAACGGCTATAGACTGGATTTTCTGATCGAGGATAATTAGCACTATTATTACTGTACCCTTGTCTTGGGGAGGTTAACTGCTGTGATTGTCTCATTTGTGTGAAGTTCTGTCAGGAAGAGTAAGAATGAAAATAAGAACGGCTTGCCTGGAAATTAAATTAGATCTAGGTAATTAAGTCACAGGGGGCTCCTGAAACAGAGAAGGCAATTGAGTCATCTTCATAGATTTTTTTTTTTAAGCTTCCTAAAAGGATATAGGACACATTTATTATAAAGAATACATAAAGGTCTCTGGAATCCCTAGCCCATACCAAAATGTGAACTCCTTTATAACACACATTGCTGAGGGATTACTGGTGGTTCTCTTCAGGGTTCTCTGTGCAGTGTTAGCAGCTCACATGTAAAAGTTACTTTTCCATGCAGTCGGAGTGGGAAGTAAGACCATAGATTGCCAATCCACAGCTCGAACTCAAAGGATTCTAATCAGTAGGGGTTTTAGAAACTAAACATGATTTTTTTACTTACAAATTTATGGCACAGTCTATATTACATGTAAAACTGTAGCCATTAATGGGAGAAGGAGAATAATATGTCTACATTTTTATTTATTTTATTTATTTATTTTTATTTTTTTATTATTTTTTTTTATGTCTACATTTAGAAAAAAAATCCTTCCATCCGGTAGGTTGAACTCAGTGGCTTTCATTATGTACTCCACTGAGATATGTAACAACTTTGTAAGCAACCACAACATTCAAGGCACACAATTTAAGCCTGTGATTTATATGAGTTGAAGATGCTTTGGGAAGAAATAGAATATAAAAGAACCTTTAGAATTCATATTTTCTTGAGGTCCTTAATGAGGGAAATTCTGAATATTCCTAACAAATACGGATAAGGAAGGACTGGAAGGTACCTAGATGACTGACCTATGAGAATTTGGCCAGTGCTACATGAATCTGCTACGTCAGTTTTGTTTTTGTTGTTGTTTTTTTTTTTGAAGTAGTCTCCATGCCCAACATGGGGCTTGAACTCTTGCCTCCGAGATCAGTAGTCACATGCTGTACCACTGAGCCACCAGGTGCCCCTACATGAGTCTTTCTTTTAAAAACCCTCCTCACCTTTCCGTTTCCTCCACTTAAAACTAGTTTATATGGCATTATTTCCACTAGATTTCATGTGCTATAATGTTCACAGAAGAGATGCTTGCTAACCTAAAAGAATTGCCAGTGATACCCTTAACTATATTAGCTCTTTCTCACCTTTACAAATGACCCAATGCTCCCAGGTAAGGTAACCATATTTTTAAAGTCCATGGTCTTCAAGAGTTCCCCTTCTGGCTTGTGTATTTCTTTTTTTTTTTTTTTAAAGATTTTATTTATTTATTTGAGAGAGAGAGAATGAGAGAGAGCACATGAGAGGGGTTAGGGTCAGAGGGAGAAGCAGACTCCCTGCCGAGCAGGGAGCCTGACACGGGGCTCGATCCCGGGACTCCAGGATCATGACCTGAGCCGAAGGCAGTCGCTTAACCAACTGAGCCACCCAGGCGCCCTTGTGTATTTCTTTATATGAAGGAAAAATTATGCAGAATATTTGTAGTGAATATACCCATGCAAATTCTCATTATACACTTGTCATACCTGCAGAGCTTAGCAAAAACGTAGTCATTGCTAGAAAGTATATTCAGAAATTGTAGTCTCCTGTAGATTATTCTAATGTATACAAGTATGTCTTGAAATCCAAGTGTATGAATTTCTAGAATTTACTTTTTGTCTCACAGCATTGCTAGCCCAATTCTAGACCTGTATCATTTAAAACTGATTCATTGAGGGGGCGCCTGAGTGGCTCAATCCATTAAGTGTCTGACTCTTGGTTTGGGCTCAGGTCATAATCTCAGGATCATGAGATTGAGCCCCAAGTCAGGCTCAGGGCTCAGGGTGGAGTTTTCTTGTCCCTTTCCCTCTCCCTCTGTCCCTCTACCTCCCCTGAGTGCTTATCTCTCTCTCTCTCTCTCTCTCTCTCCAATAAAATCTTAAAAAAAAAGATTATTTGAGAGGCGCCTGGGTGGCTCAGTCAGTTAAGTGTATGCCTTCAGCCCAGGTCATGATCCCGGGGTCCTGGGATCGAGCCCCATGTTAGGCTCCCTGCTTCTCCCTCTCCCTCTGAGCCTCCCCACCATGCTCTCTCTCAAATTAATAAATAAAATCTTTAAAAAAAATGAATCATTGAAAAAAAATAAAATTCATTGAAACAGGTGTTTTCACTAAAAGTAGACTTTTTTAAAACATATTTTTGATCAGAGTTTCCTTTTATTAAATCCTAGGCAATAGCTTACCTTTCACCTGAAGACCTTTTGAAAGGAGAAGTTGAAGACTCTTTGGAAAAGGTTCAGGTGGCCATTAACGTCTTAAAGACTTTCAAAACGTCTTTTTTCAACTATAGAAAAGAATTGGCAAACTATTTTAAGGGAAATGAGCTAAAACCATGGGATTTCCAGTCTCAACTGGTGTTTTGTAGATTTGACAAATTTCTGGACCGTTTCATGAAAATAGAGGTATTCATTTATTGACTTGTGATTTATTCATATGGTGGGTGGGTTAAAAAAAAATCTTGTAGTTTTCTGTATCATTCAGGAGATAGTTTATTCTATTTGGATGGGAGAGTGGGAGATCTGTCTCAGTTATTATGAAGTGCTGACCAGGCCAGTGCTGTTCGGGTGGTTTTATAAGCTTTGCCTTTTTTTTTTTTTTTCCTTTTACGCATTTTTAATTCTTTTAGTATGCTGAGTATAAGTGAGACTCTGTTATGTATTAGTGACCTCTGATTTCTAACTTAAGCACTTGGAAGACCGTTGTGAACCAGGCATCTCTAAACTGTATCTTTTTTTCCTTTATATGTTTGACATTGGGATTCTATCCTTGGAAAACCCATTTGATTATCTAAAATACCACACTGTCTTTTAGTATATAAATATACAGACTATAAAAAATATTAAAGCCCTTCATAAGAAATATGGAAATACGTGCTGTGTGTAAATGTGTTACAGATACTTCAAAAACAACACTGAATGAAAACACGCATGGACAAACATTCGCGCACGTAGTTGGAGCTTTATGTTTTGAAAATTCCCATCCCTTCATCAGCCTGAATGCCTCTCAAAGTCCGACTGCTAAATGCCTAACTCCGGGTGACTGGCCCCCCTTTCTTAACAGTCTTAGACCCCCTTTCAGTAAGGGAGGTGATTCACTGCCAAGTAGGGGTGGCTGAAGATAGGATTTTAGATCTTACCTGGGGATCTGACTTAGGATTGGAAGGATGTAAAATTAGGGAAGCATAGGTTTAGCTATGGCAAAGTAGGTCTTGCCTGTACTGCTAGAAAATTCTTAGGAAATGTGATAATGGGAATAGGATTTGGAAAACAGTAACTTCGTTCATTTAAATCATTAATGATTTTCTGTCATGTAAGTGTCCATTAACTCACTGATTTTTTGAATGCCTGAAAGTGTTTTTTCTTTGCAACTTTAAAATGCTCCTGTCCTGTCCAAGATGGTGGAAAGCTCTTTATTGTACTGTGTTTTTACAAAGGATATATTTGTCACAATATTGGAATTTGAAAAGCTGGAAAGACTTGAATTTGGTGGTACCAAAGGAGCGATTTTAAATGGACAAATCCACGAGATGATAGAAGACTTTATGGAACTGTGTGAAGTTTTTAAACAGAGCACTTATGACCCATCTGATTACAATAATATGGTAATACTATACCTTTGCATTTTCATTTCATAGAACCCTATAATTTTAAAGCTAGAAAGGATGAAAGGTCACAGTGGTAATAGGTACCGTCTGGTACAATCTCTCTAGGATGAAAGAGGTTAAATGACTTGCCCGAAGTCTCTTATCTACTTAGTGGTAGATCAGGGACTGGAACTTAGGCCTTTGCATTTAGAAGTTGAGAACATTGACAACTGTTTCTAATGGAACAGGACTCAATCTGGATTTGTTTCTGGCTTATGTGTATTGAAAAGGAACTTTTCACATTAACTCATTTCCATGTGACTCTCTGATGTCTCTGTAACTCGTGTGTTTTATTTTATCCTTTTCCTGAATCACTCGATAACTTTTTGGTCTATTTGAACATTTAGTTTCGGTCTATTTACTACATATATTATTAAGATGTATATTGTCTCATATATTTTTACTGTTCTTCTTTAGTGTTATCTGTAGTTTCATAATTTCAGGCTCAAGGAATTAAGGGGAAGCTTTCAGACTTAGGTGCTTTCTGTTTTCTGCCACTCCCAGCACATTAGTAGCTGGGGAGTTACCTGTGAGCATCCCTGCAGCTCTAGGATAGGAATAGCTTCATTTCAGTTGTTGGCCAAGAACGGTGAAGTCCAGGTACAAAAAAAAAAAAAAAAAGATTTTGCTCTTGTCTTCATTGTTTTTTATAGAATGTGAATTTCTTCACTGTTGTGTTTATATTTGGTCAAATAATTGATTGTAATGCACAAGTGCAGTGAGTTAGCCTTGTTGAAGACAAGGTCAGCAAACTTAATCCTTCTGAACTGTAGTCAGCTTTTGGGAAGTGGAGTAATGGCAAGAGGACGCAGCCATTGTGTGTCCTGCTACTTTGTGCAAAAGTAGGAGGAGCCTAGGACCCTGGTGACTGAGAGCCTGGGAAGATGTCTCACACACTCGGCAGGCATTCCGTGAATCTGGATGGAACAGAACTCTGGCAGGGCCTTGGCTTAGCTCTCCTAAGCAGCGTGGCAGAGGAGTGTGAGACCCGCCGGGCATGGGATCCTCAGGTGCATTTGAGTAGCAGAGTCTGGATTTCTTCATGATGAGAACGCCTGGCAGGTTTTCAGAGTGCCGGGGTTGGAGAACAAGGCGAGCTCTAGCTGATGTCACCACCTTGGCAACACCAAAGGTCCTGAATTTATCCTCCTGTCTGCCCAAAGCCTGACACAGTCACCAACAAGGACGAATACAATACTCATTTGCTCTTGACCTACATATTTGCTTGGTATTTGTATTTTGGTATTGAGTGTTTTGAAACCCCATTTATTTTGCAAGTAAAATGGGCAAGGCTTACTCCTTTTCTTTTTTTTTTTTTTTTTTAAGATTTATTTATTTTAGGGCGCCTGGGTGGCTCAGTCGGTTAAGCGACTGCCTTCGGCTCAGGTCATGATCCTGGAGTCCCGGGATCGAGTCCCGCATCGGGCTCCCTGCTCGGCAGGGGATCTACTTCTCCCTCTGACCCTCCTCCCTCTCATGTGCTCTCTCTCATTCTCGCTCTCTCAAATAAATAAATAAAATCTTTAAAAAAAAAAAAAAGATTTATTTATTTTAGAGAGAGAGTGCATACACAAGCAGGGAGAGGGGCAGAGGAGGGAGAGGGAGAGAGAGAATCTCAAGCAGACTCCCCACTGAGTGCGGAGCCCAACACGGGCCTCTGGTCTCACAACCGCAAGATCATGCCCCATGCCGAAATAAAGAGCGAGACACTCAACCGACCGTGCCCCCCAGGCACCCCCAGGCGCCCCCAGGCTTACTTCTGATGTGTCTGGGTTGAGACAGCAGTAACTTGCCCTTGAAGTTCTCCTTCATTGTCCTTTCTGGTTATTTCACTTTAGAAGAGAACCGAGAAGCTCCTTGACTTTGGTCCTTCCTTAAAATACTTATTAACAAAAGTTCATTTAATGGCTTTGCTTATGTTGAAGAGCTTTGCTTTTTGTTTTGCTTTTTGGGTTTTTTTGTTTTTTTTAAAGATTTTATTTATTAGAGCATGAATGGAGGGGGAGAGGGAGAAGCAGACTCTCCCCACTGAGTAGTTTCGATCCCAGGACCCCAGGATCATGACCTGAGCTGAAGGCATATGCTTAACTGACTGAGCCACCTGGGCGTCCCGAGCTTTTTTTTTTTGCATGTGTCCTGGTTATCATTGTTGCCTCAGAATGTTGCAATGATTATGTATTTTTAGCTTAATAAATTTTTTATTTGGTGCTTCTCAGCTGAATTCATTGTATTGATTTTTACGATGAATTCAGTTGGTAATTTTTATGAGACATTTTCTCAAAATACTTCCAACCTAGTATGTTCATACAGGTATATCCACATGCCCACCCCGTACCCTTCTCCACCCACTGCATATGTTTCTGCATGTTCCCTGGTCCCGGTGAATATACACTAGTGCCGACATAACAGTTGAGTGTGTCATAACTTCGGTATAATAATGGTTTAAATATGTTTCAGTAAATTAAAGAAATAATTGCTAATTTGCTTTTGGATATGCTAGTATTTGTTTCTTTCAATCAATCTCAAGCCTATAATCAGCCAAAAGAGATGTGCCACTGTGGTCCCTACAGAACACAGGGATTTTCTCAGGCATATCCATAAAAATATTTTTGGGTTTCTCACTTATTTTTGAATAGAAAGATCACTTCAAGTATTTTCTTTGACTTCTTCCTATGGAACTTTTGAGATTTAGACAATTATGGGGGAGAGACTTGGATTATTTATTTTTTGTTGAAATTGATTTGATATGTAACATTGTACATATTTAAGGTGTACAACTTGTTAATTTCATACATTTATATATTATTGTCATTGTAATGATAATTAGCACCTCTATCACACTACACAATTATGCTTTCCTTTTAGTCGCTGGAATCATTATGTTCTAGTCTCTTAGCAAGCTTCATATTAAATGAATGTAGACACAACAGTATTGTATTAAAATAACAAACTTGCTAAGATATTTGCTTTATTGTTTGTATTTAATAGCTAGTCAGATGACTTTAGGCTCAGCAGCTTTGCTTTGTTGTCATTTTGAGGTGTTACTTGCTTAGTTATCTGGAGAATTTTATTTAATCAAGGGTGGTGGCTATTGGTGAGAGTAATGTCTTGGCTCCACTTAGTCTCTGTTAATCAGAGTCCATTAATATTTACTGAATAATTGCTGGGTACCAGGAATTGTGCAGAATCTTCACACATTCCTGCTTCATTCTCACTATAACCCTGAGAGTGATGCCCAGGTGGATGATAACAAGAAAATTACCTGAGATGACACCGTCCCCCGGGAGTGGAACCGATTCCAGCCCCGAACTCTGAAGCCCATGTCCAGCACTCTCTCCCCTGTGCCACTCTGACTCTTCAGTATTTGCCTCCCTTGTTGTCTCCTCATCGAAATGAAGGGAATAAGTTCATCTGGGGGCAGTGGCTGCAGTTGGAGGAATTGACCTGAGCACCTGTGCCCCGAGGTGGACTGATCCAGGATACACTGTGTGTTTTGCTTCTAGTCTGTCATTATACCAGAATTTAAAATACATTTTCAAAGTTGTTATTTAGTTAATCTATACTGGGTTGTATTCCAATTCCTACAGTTAGTCCTCTGTTCTGTTCTAGTCTACTGAATGATTAATTCTTCTATTGCTATATGTAGCATTTTCTAATTTTAGTGGTAAAAACTTGTTAGCCATCTACAGGATTTTCATATGTCTCACCTGCTTATTTTTCAAGATAAAATTTGTTCTTTAAAAACATGACATTCTTTTGGAAACATAATATGTGCAAAAGTGTAGTCTCCTTCTTCTTACCCTGCTGTCTTTTTCCTTAATCTTCCATTTTTTTCTTCCCAAAAGGCACCTACCATTATGAGTTTCTTGTATAATATTCCAAAGATACTTGGTTCATGCACTAGCAAATCCATGTATGGATTCTTTTGTGTTCTGCTTTTGCACAGATAGCCTTCTCTACACATCACTTACACCTTGCTTTTGTCACTTAGTGTATTTTGGCAGTCCTTTTGTATCACTACAAAAGCATTGCCTACTTTTGTGAAACAATTGCGTATTATTCCATTGTATTTATGTACTATTTATTTTTAAATGTTAAAGTAGTAGATAACATTCTTTAAAGATACATTTAGGAACTTCTGCTTTTGGGAAGATGAAATAGATGTACTTTTCCCTATACCTTTTAGTAAGTAGGACTAAAGCACTGATTACTTTATATAAAATAAACGTAAGACTGTAGGATTAAAAGAAGGCCAGTTGGCTAGGGACCTTTCTTGTTACCTGAAATTTACCTAGACATGGGACTGGATACACTGGCAACCTGGAAACACCAATGGGCAGAGACATAAAATGCCCCAGTAAAAGCCTATTCTCTCTTAAGAAGGGGGCAGCATAGTAAGAAAACTTGCAGACATAATTTCTCTAGTTTAGCCAAACCCCACAGAAGAAAATGTATCTTACTCCCATTCATGCTAGCAAAGACCGAGTGGGGAGCCTAGACTTAAAACCAGTCTGGGGATGCCTAGGTGGCTCAGGTCATGATCCCAGAGTCCTGGGATCAAGTTCCGCATCGGGCTCCCGGCTCAGCAGGAAGCCTGCTTCTCCCTCTGCCTGCCATTACCCCTGCTTGTTCTCTCTCTCTCTCTCTCTCTCACACACAAATAAAATCTTTAAAAAAAAGAAAAAAACAGTCTATAATAGGTGCCTCAGCCCCCACCCCACTGGGATGGTGCCAGAGATTGGCCAGTTAGAGAGCTGTGATTGTCATCTTGGCTGGCCACTAAAGAGCTCACTCTTGGTGGAGTCAGTGGAGACTGCATGGGAATTCTGGACTTTCTTCCTCATCCAGTAGCATCCTTACCCCATCTCCAGAGGAAGCTGCTGGAGAGCCAGGACTTTGACCATGGCCAAGTGGTAACCAAGTCACCTACACTGTGGCATCTGTGAAGACCACATGGG